TGAAAAGCTGGCTCTAGCCACCAGCTTATTTTCAGCATGTTTTCAAAAGATGTTTTAAATACATATCTTCACTCTCATCTCTTTTTGGGCATTTTTAGGCATGATTTATGAACCATTAAGGATTAATAAGCTAAGAAACAACATATGTAAGTGAATTAGAAATTATGTGTCGAATCCGAGTATGTGGTTCTATATGAACAAGCTATGTGACATGGAATGAATAGGAAGTTAAAGCAAGAAAGCTAAGCCATGTATGGCCACATGAATGAGTAATAATGAGACATGTTTTGTGCTATGTACATTTATGTTTGTAGGTCAAGACTCGAAGACTGACCAACCGTTCTGGAAGCCCACTGTGAGTAACGTTAGTGTAAAGATATGTTCATATGAATTATGTTCTAAATGTAATTTGATAAGTTATGATTTCTGAAATGATATTTGTTTACGTGAACGAATGTCCTATGTTGAAATCTATTATGGCAGTCATAGATAGTCCCAAGTCATGGTGTCACGACCCAAACCTGCCCCTATAGGTTTAGCATCGTAATCGGCCAGTAATCTTGGGATTACCGAAGGCCTCTGAGACAAATTAACATAATAATAGGGGCTAGCAGAAGCAAATAAGAAATATACAACGTCCATTGAGCTGTGCAGACTTATATGAGATAGAAAAATTTTAATCTTTTTATATACATATATATACACATTATCTGTAAGTCATCATATGTACATAGATTAGACAAAAAATGACTTAGCCCTATTTACAAAATACACAAAACTTGTTTAACCCAACAAGAAATAGAACTTAAACTTTAAATTACTAAGCAATTATCACTTGACATGTCCAGAATCTCTACGGGAGGCACATAGGTTGGCTGACAAAACAGATTCTAGGCAGATGCCTCTAAGCCTAGTCACACGCCTGATCACCAACATACATAAATAATACAGTGAGTTAGAGCCCAGTGAATAATAACAGAGTAAAGGGTTTTTATGAATGAGTTCATACAGATTCAGAATTCAGAATTCAGTTTCGTATCAAAATCATAACTTGTCTAGATCATATACAGACAGAAATCATAAGCCTTGTTTAAGTTTACGTAATACATTCTTTAGCACTAGCAGAAACAGTTGACCCATAAGGGACGGCCATAAAGGCATACTGTTGACTCATGTGCACGGAGACGATACAGTTGGCTCATGAGACATACAGTTGACCCATAAAGGGACATAAGGATCCATAACAATTGGCTCATGAGACGTACAGTTGACCCATCAAGGGACGTAACAGAACAGATAACAATTATCATTTGAGGCTAAGAATGTCACGAATACATTCCAGAAACATTGGACAACCATTCATTCATACAAAAAAATTTACTTCAGCAAACAGATCATTTTACATCACTCAGAAAATACTTATAATTGAACATAACTTTACAAAGTTATTACTCACAGATAGCCGCAGAAGCAAATCAGACGGACTAGACATATCAGATAAATCTGGCAGACAATGGCGCGTGACCTACACAAGCACATAACATATACACATTGAAATACAATATTACTCTCTTGATCAAATTTGACGTTCCTAGTATTCTTCCGTCTAAACAGTCCGAAGTTCTACTATGCTTATCCTTTCCCATTCAAATAAACCGGGTTCTTATTTCACATATTCTTTTATTACTAAGCCCTTCTTTTCCCAATAGATTGATCTTTTATTTAGCTTATTAAATAACTACCACTAGATCAATGATTCATTCTTCAACTAACTAATCTATGTTGATTAGTAGCTTATTAATCTTTATTGAGTCATAAATCATGTCTAGAATGCCTTGGAAAGAGATGAGAATAAAAATGTGAACTAAATGTAATTTTTCAAAATATGCTGAAAATGGGTCTCCGCTCGAGCGTCACTTTGGTCGCTCGAGCGGACTGCAAAATTTGAAAAACTACTGGGAGCTCGATTTCACGCTCGAGCGAGACTTTCCTCGCTCGAGCGGACAGCGTAAATTATGAAATTTTCAGAATTGCAATTGAAGTTCAAATTCGATATTCAAAGCATCAAAGCATGTATTTTTGGTACACAAAAATGGAGAACCATTGTATAATTTAGTAAACACTTTCAATTAGAAATCATTCATTCAAAATCATGCTTCAATTGTCCAAATTTAGTTTTAACTCATCTTCTCCAAATCAAACCCAATTTCAAGCCCACTAATTTTAAAACACGAATTAAACTCTCAAAACTCTTGAAAAATTCATAATGTACGTACAATTGGAACTCAATTTCATGTTAGGACAAATAAACTCAACCCAAAGTAATTAATTTCTAAGTTAGTTTTCATACATTTGATCAAAGCTTCAATTTCTCATTTTCTCTTTAATTACATAAAATTGGCGTCAAGTTCTTTCTATTTTCCTTGAAATCATGAAATTGGAGTCATGAAACTTCTTATAAATTTTCCAACTAATTTCCATAATCTTAAACTCAACTTAATTTGTAATCAAAATATGTTTAATTCAAATAAAATCTTAAATTACATTACATAAAATATGAGATTGAATTAATCCAAATCCTTCAAAATCCATGAGGTATGCAATACAAATAGGTCCAATTTTATTATTAACAACAAAATCAACTTAACTATGAATTACACAAATCAATTTCTTAGAAATTCAACTTAACTCAATTTCTAACCAAAACTTAATTTATAACCATAGATGTTCTAAAATGTGCTTAAATTGAACAAACCTTTTAAATTAAATCACATGCATGGATTAAATAAATTCCTAATTTTCATAATAAAATCAAAACTTCCTTTAATTCCAAAATCAACTCTCAACTTTCATGAACTCATGATTTTTTATAACTTTTTCTCCAAAGTCATTTATATACTCCATTGCATGGATCCAATCTTCAAATATTTATTGTTGCATGTAATTTATAGAACCCAATTTATGAATGATTCTCAAAATTAAACTCAAACATAACAAATTTAAAGAACCATAACTCATATTTTCAACCTAACTTGATTAAACATGCAAGACCCAATTTCTATGAATTTATATAATTAATCCTCAACTTTCTATTTTAATTCTCTCAAATTCACCCTCAATCAATTTATAATTTGACTTCTTAATTCATATCACAACTTAATCTCAAGCTCATAACCCTGAAAATATGAATTAAATTCTAAAATCTTGAAAATTCACAATGCATGTGAGGATAAACTAAAAATATGTGAAGGATGAAGAAAATCAAACCCCAAATATTAAATCATAACATCAAACCCAAAATAATTAATTTATAATTTATTTTCCATAACCATCCACATGCATGTAACCCATTTCAAATTAACTTCTATGATTTTCAATCTAATTCAGTTTCATCACCCTTTTACTAATTCCTTTTAATTTACATGCAATTGAAGTTATATGACTCCTAGGAAAGTATTTGCATGTATGAAATTAAGATTAAAACTAACTAATTTTCTATATTCAAAATCAAATCATAATTTAATTCTTGAATTGCTCTAATTTAGATTTTTATCAATTTCCTTCCATCTTCTTAAATTAACCCTCAATTTTCAGATTTATATGTTTAATTGATGTATAGAAAATTTATAACCTTTAGGAGAACATTCATCTATAAGGAATTTGGAGATTAATTGATTTAAAACATACTCTCCATGAAACTCTCTTGAAACCCATCTCAACTCAAAGTTTCTCTAAATAATCCTCTAAAAATCCACTTGAATCAATTTTTGTCTAGATTATTTAAATAATACAAGAAAGGGAATAGAATTTCTTACCTTAAGATGATTTTTCCATAATTTTTGGTTTAAATCTTGGTGTCCTTCCAAACGCCCTTCTTCTCTTCTTCTTCCTTTCTTCTGGAAAACTCTCTCTCTCTCTCTCTCTCTCTCTCTCCCGTGCGTTTCTCTAGCCCAGCAAACATACATCTCCTTTTTTTTCTTTTTGATTTCATTTCTATCTTTTTCTTTTATATATCAAAGATTCTAGAACACTTTCATTCTTTCTACATTTTTTTTTATATTTAATTGGATATAATTAAATTAATTGCTAATGACTCATAATTAGACTTAATTAATTATGCTTAGTCTCAAATCAAATTACTTTAAATTAATTCTTAATTTACATTGATTTCACTTAGTCCTAATTAATTATGATTACCACACAACTTAATTAACCCAATATACTTAATCATTCCAAATTTTACGAATCTGAATCAGATGTTTTAATCAAACTCCCAAAAGGTTCCAAATATTAAATTAAACTCATTTTCATCCTCAATTTTGATTTCTTAGATCATTTAATCCTTCAATTTATGATCCGACTCGAAATTTCGTCAATAAATTACATATTCAATTGAATACCTCATAAATAAATTTAATTCATAGTAATCTTAATTCTTAACTCGTATAACTTAATTAACTCCAATTCAGACCCAATTAATCGAATCTCAATTTTATAAATCTGGATCGAATATTTAATTAAACTCCCGTATGGTCCTATACTCAAAATTTAAATAATTCAATTCACTATTTCTACTTTCTTGAGCCGTTTAGGCTTTTAAATTTCTAATTCCAAAATAAATACTTAATAGAACCATAAATGAATCAATCTCCATAATTTTCATAAAACCCAGATTAAATTGGAATAATTGACAATTAAATTTCATAAACTCAACTTAATTTGTAATCAAAATATGTTTAGTTCAAATAAAATCTTAAATTACATTACATAAAATATGAGATTGAATTAATCCAAATCCTTCAAAATCCATGAGGTATGCCATACAAATAGGTCCAATTTTATTATTAACAACAAAATCAACTTAACTATGAATTACACAAATCAATTTCTTAGAAATTCAACTTAACTCAATTTCTAACCAAAACTTAATTTATAACCATAGATGTTCTAAAATGTGCTTAAATTGAACAAACCTTTTAAATTAAATCACATGCATGGATTAAATAAATTCCTAATTTTCATAATAAAATCAAAATTTCCTTTAATTCCAAAATCAACTCTCAACTTTCATGAACTCATAATTTTTTATAACTTTTTCTCCAAAGTCATTTATATACTCCATTGCATGGATCCAATCTTCAAATATTTATTGTTGCATGTAATTTATAGAACCCAATTTATGAATGATTCTCAAAATTAAACTCAAACATAACAAATTTAAAGAACCATAACTCATATTTTCAACCTAACTTGATTAAACATGCATGACCCAATTTCTATGAATTTGAACAAGGAAAATGTTTGAGGGCCACAACTTTCTATTTTAATTCTCTCAAATTCACCCTCAATCAATTTATAATTTGACTTCTTAATTCATATCACAACTTAATCTCAAGCTCATAACCCTGAAAATATGAATTAAATTCTAAAATCTTGAAAATTCACAATGCATGTGAGGATAAACTAAAAATATGTGAAGGATGAAGAAAATCAAACCCCAAATATTAAATCACAACATCAAACCCAAAATAATTAATTTATAATTTATTTTCCATAACCATCCACATGCATGTAACCCATTTCAAATTAACTTCTATGATTTTCAATCTAATTCAGTTTCATCACCCTTTTACTAATTCCTTTTAATTTACATGCAATTGAACCCAATTTCATTTTGATTCTAGATGTTAGGGAAATTATTTACAAGAATTAAGGTAGAAATTGTTACCTATTGTTCTTTCAAGATGAATTCTTGAGCCTCTCATTGTTACTCTTTACCTTCCCCTTTGCTCCTAATTTCTTCCTTTAACTCTAGTTCCAGCACACACAAAAAGAAAACAGTGGCTTTCTCTCCCTCTCTCTCGACTCTCTCTCTTTTTCGGCTACAAAAACAGGGCTCCCTTTTTTTTCCTTTGTTTGTGTTTTCTTCTTGAGCTTCATCAGGTTATACACTAAGAGCATCTCCAACGGTGAATCAGATTTTTCATCAAATCTGAGTAAAAAATGACTCATTTCACCAAATCTGGTACCAGATGCTCCAACGGTTCACCTTTCACCAAATCTGTCCCGAGACAACCGGGTGGTCGACCGGTGAGGGAAATTATTATTATTTTTTTTAATTGTCTGAACCGTTTTTGTTGAACTTTCTGAACTTTTTCCGGGACGACCGGGTGGTCGATCAGCCGGTTGACCGGTTAGGGAAATTTTTTTTGAACTGTTTGAACTTTTTTTTGAACTGTTTGAATCTTTTACTGGTTGACCGGTTGGTCAACCGGCCGGTCAACCGGTTGGTATCACCCTAACGGTCAGTAACAGTGATTTGGTGAAATGCTTCGCCTATTCTCAGTTTGATGAAATGTTTGGTGAAATCTCATTTAGATATCGATTTGGTGCAACCGTTGGAGCATCAAATAGTAACTTTTTCACCAAATTTTAAATTTGATGTTGGGTTTGATGAACCGTTGGAGATGGTCTAACACACACACCTCACTTCTTTGTCACCAACACAGCACACGTGCACTCTTCTAGCACATCACTGACACACACACACCTATACATAGATTTCTCAACACACCCATACCCAATTACACCCCCAATTCTAATTTAGTCCATAATTCAATTTATGATTAAAATTAACTTAATTAGATAACACTCAATCTAAATAAATCTTGATTAACACATAATTAAATTAATCATACATAATCACAAATCTCACATAATTAAATGAGTTTAGTTTGCCTTCCATTAGAGCCTAATTAATTATATTTAAATTCATCAGTCTGAATCAGATATTTAATCAAACTCCCAAAATGCTCCAAATATTAAATTAAACTCATTTCCATCCTCAATTTTGATTCCTTAGATCATCTAATCCTTCAATTTCTGATCAGACCCAAAATTTCGTCAATTAAATTACATATTCAAATAGGACACCCCATAAATAAATTTAATTCACAATAATCACAATTCTCGATCTTCATAATTTAATTAGCTTAATTAACTCCAATTTGGATCTAATTAATCGAACCTCAATTTTACTAAACTGAATCGATTATTTAATTAAACTCCCAAATGGGTCCATAATTAATATTAAATTGACTCAACTTTTTAATTTCACTTCTTTAAACCATTTGGACCCTTAATTTCCAATTCTCAAAATAAACACTTAATAGAACCTTAAATGAATCAATCTCCATACTTTTCGTGAATCCCAGATTAAATTATAATAATCGACACTTAAATTTCAAGCCCTCTTAATTATCCGAGTACTAGTCATTATACGTGATGGGGTCGTTACACATGGGGGACGACATGTTAATGCGGGTTCATGACATATATGTGATTCCGAGATCTCGTTAGCCACTTCATTGTAGTGATATGTGTTTAATCGGTATCCGGAACCGATTACTCTAGTCGGAAGACGATATGTGATATGTTCTATGAGATGTACCATTATTATGTTCGGATATGAGGATGATTATGTTATGATTTGTTTTATGATTATCAAATGTTCAGAATTCGTTCACTAACCTTTTACATTGATGTTATTCATTGGGCTTTACCTTATTGTGTGTATATATATATGTATAGGTGAGCGTTTTGGAGATCAGGCCTGAAGACTTTTGTTTGGATCTATGTCTTGTTGTCAGCCAACCATTGTGCCTCACGTGGAGGTTCTTGAAGTGTCACGTGTTTTAAGCTCTGTTGTTTCTGTATATAAGACTCGTTTTGTTTTTGTTGGCTGTACTTAAGATATTATAGCTAAGTGTGTGGGTATAATGTGAAAATGATTTTGGTTATGTATATGAAATTTTAAATATTCTGTTTCATGTAAGTTTACAGGGCTCATTGGACAACTATATTTATGTATTTGCTTCCGTTAGTCCCTTAATTTTGTTAATCAGTTCAGAAGCCTTCGGTAATCTAAGGATTACTGGCCGGTTACGACGCTAAACCTATAGGGGCAGGTTTGGGTCTTGCATCTATGCTTCGAAAATGAAGTGCAGAAAATTAAGTGCAGGAAATATAAATGAACAGAAAAATAGAAATCAATTGTCTTTGATTTAAATTCTGGCTCCTTACAATGTAGTCATGAATGACTATTTATAGGCAAATATTTATAGGAAAAAACTATCTAATAACTATTATATTCTTCCATCTCCCACACTTCACACTCCATGATCTTCAACTTCATCTCTATATCTCCATAACTTCCTTTAACCTTTAATTCATGCTCTATGTTCTTCACATTATGCTCCATGATCGTCCACATTCTCCATCATCTTTTCACATGTGTTTAATGATTTATAACTTCTCATAACCTCCAAATGAGTAGGAGAGTGACACGTGTCCTGCAATTATAAAATAATATCTAATAATAAAATTATTTATTTATGGTGCCAACACATTTCAAGTTAAAATTGACAAGTTAAAATTGACAGTAACACTCACATTCCATTTGTTTGAATAAAAAATATTTTTCATCAGAAATTGTTTTACTATATTTAATTGTGACATTAAAATTAATGTGCTAGTAATTGTATTAGTGGTGGTGATGGTAATGGTGATGGTGATAGAGGTAGGATGGTAGCAGAGGTGGTGGTAGTGGGGCGATTGAAGTGGTGGTAGCAGTTGGGGTGGAGTGGTACAATGGTAAGATGTAAGTATGAAAAATATTTTTCACTTTTCACAAGTGTAAAACATTTTTCATCTAAATAAATTTATTTTCTGTTAATTTTTTTTTTAATAATAAATGTCAAAAAATAAGAAAATTAATTTTTAAAACTATTTTATGTTGAAATAAACAGAGCCTCTATCTTTTCAAAAGATGCGTGCTTGAAAATTGTACTGATTGCATCACTACATGTTCCTCAAAATCTTACTAATAATTACTAACAAATTACCACTGTTCATATGAATCTGTCAAGATATAAGTTAGATTGTTTTTCCTTTTTGTAGCAATTTTTATTTTTTAAAAAGAAAAGGAAGAAGAAGAAGAATATAAGTTTCATCATGAAGAGGAATAAATTGTACATTGGTTTATGTAATCTATTACTTGTTAAGTTGAACTTATTTTATTTTCCATGTTTTCAAAAATAGAAAAAAAAAAAACAATGGAAAGTTAAAAAAATGCCCATTATCTTCATATTGTTGTCATTTTGTACCAACATAGTTTTTAAAAATACAGAATACAACGTAAAAATATTTCCTAAAAAATGCTGATGTTTTCATAAATTGACCAAATGCGGGAAAAAGTCGATTTCATAAGCTTTCAAACCGTTCCCAAATGAGGCAAATTTCCAATATTCTCTATTTTTCAAGAGATAGGTCCACATAAAAATTATGCTTATATCACAAATATGACACACCAATGACTAATCTAATTGTGTTTAAAGCATAATGTTGTTCAGTTTGTGCTAGCTAAAAATTAGTTTAACATGAAGGGAACATTGTTAGGTAAGATTCATCTTTTGGCAATTATGCTCTATAGATTTTCCTATTATCAATTGTCTGTAGATAATCAGACATAGTGTGACTTGGCGCCAATCCTAGCTAACTAATATTCAAAAAATTGAACATCCTAACAGTCAAGTCCCCATGTGGCAGCACCTATTTGGTTCATGATGTCATAAAATAAACTAAGAAACTATTCATTGAATTCATGCTTGAGATTCACGAATCCTGATCCTCCGTAGTCCACCTGTAATACCACAAAACGACATCATTTGAAGCAAAATTGAAAAGAAGAAAAAGAACCTCCCCCTTTTCTCTTCTAGTTCTTCTGAAAACGATATCATTTTAAGACACTATAAGCAATACACTATAGAGTATCTAAATTTGATATTCAAGACTATTTCTGATGCTTTGGTATAGCTGTCTTTGCAATGTTTGAGTTGTTGGGTTCGTTGTGCTTGGGTTGTTTACTTGTCAATAGTTTGTTAGTGGCTTGTTACTGGATTTTCTTTTGGTTGTGTCCCGTCATCCTTTAATCTTTTTTAAGTTATGTTCATCTCTTAGTATTTGCTTGTGTTGTAAACTTTTGTTATAGTAGTTGGTGTATGTTGCTTAGTTCTCTCTATATCCAATAACTCTGTGTGTATAATTTTTTACTTTTATGAATAAAAATTTTAAGTTGTCAAAAAAAAGGAAAAAAAAAACTATTCATTACCATTTTTGGCATTGCTGCAAGTATCTGACCCGCACTTTTGGGTGGACCATGCAATTGTAAACATAAACATTAACAAACATTCCCCTAATATTCATATTTCACCTAAGAAATTTGATGATGATATACATATTTTTTCTTTTCATGACTCATGACATATAAATTGATTAATTACCCATGGCTCTTCTCTTTTGTTAGTTTGGAGGGTTGTGTGCAATTTTTATTTATTAATTTTTGTGTTCTCATATGTTTATTTCCTTCTTTAATTGTACTCTTTTTCATTCTTTTACGTTGTATTTGGTTAGAAAATTCGGAAAGAAATTTGAAAAGAGAAAGTGAAAGGTGTGTGAAATTAGATGAAATATATGTATATTTTATTTACATTTCATCTATTTTTTCTTTTTCCCATTTCAAATCTCTTTCCAAATTTTCAACCAAACACTGCTTTAATGTTCTCCACATTTCTAGCTAGTTTAACTAGTAAGATATTAGTGGTTATGTTTCAGAGCAAAATGTCATGTAATGTGTTTGGTTTTAATTTTTTGAATTTAGTTTTTTGAAAATTGAGTATTTTGTTTTTTGTGTTTTTTTATTTTTAGTGAATATTTTTAAAATTTTAAGTAATTTTTTTACTTCTTAGATGTACCTTATTTAGATGTATCTAAATAGTAAAATATTTGTGACAAAATATTTTTAAAAATTAATAAATACACAAAAATATAAAAAATGTACTGAATTTATATATATATATATATACTAGCGGTTGCCACACGCGATGAGTGAGCAATTCAAATAAATAAAAATAAAATAAAACATTTTATCATATATTATGTGCTAGTTAAGTGGTAAGAGTCTTATTCATTTAACATAACTCTAAGTTTCAAATCCCCTCCTCTCATCAAGACACCATAAGGGGTGTTCACTTTATAATAGTATAGATAGATATTGTATTTTTTTGGTATTTAGTGTATTTTTTAAAGATTTTTCACAAATATTATATTTTTTAAGTGTATTTATGTTGGGTGTGTCTAAAAATTAAAAAAAAAATGTTTAAAATATTAAAAAAATTCATTGAAAACATTAAGATACAGAAAATAAAAAAGTAGAATTTTTTGAAAAATATTTTCTGAAAATCAAAACCAAACAAACTAATTTATATTATAAATGATATAAAAGAAAGGGTTTGGTTATGGTGTGCAACTTACACCTTACACCTTATACCTTACACTTACACCTTTTGTAAAAAATTAAACCTTACACTTACACCTTTTTTGAGGTTGCACACCATGTGCAACCCACTTACACCTTACACCTTACACTTACACCTTATACTTATACTTACACCTTACACTTACACTTTTTGTGTAAGTGGCACATGGTGTGCACTTGCACACTTAAGAAAACTCCTAAAAAGAATATCATTTAAAAAATTCAAGAACCATGACATATGTAGTCACAGCCTGTGTAACTAACTATTTAAAGAACATTTATGTCAAAACCTCAACAGCATACTTAAATCAACCAAATAAATGTACTGAGATTGTTTAGGCTCTGTTTGGGAAGAAAAAAGCCAGGTTTTTTTGGCTAAAATAGTCATAAAAAATAAAATAGGCTATTTTAGCTACAAAAAACAAAATATCAAATCTAACCCATAATCATTACAATCATTTCTTACAAAAAAAGCTAAAAAAGCCAAAAAACCAAAAAATCCTTCCCAAACCAGGCTAAAATAACCCAGACTAAAATAGTCAAAAAGCCAAAAAACCAACCCACTTCCCAAACGGAGGCTTATACTATTTGTGATATTTTTGTATAGCGAACGCTAACAAGTGTTTTATGGGTATTATTTAATATTTGGAAGTGTAATTTTTTTTTTGAAAATATGTAAAAATGATAAAAAAAAATGTATTAATTCTAGTAAAAATGCATTAAAATTAGTGAAAAGTGTATTGTGTTCTATAAATATTTTATCTTTTACTTGTGTTCTAAGGACACTTGTTATTAGTGATATATCATAATACATTGGTTAAAATAACAAAAATATTGAACGAACAAAATTCAAAACTACATTAGAATACTCAAAATTAATTAAATATTTTTTTCGAATGGTAATTTAATAGTGAAGATATTGAACAAAATGGGTGTTACATAAGAAAATAAAATTAAGATTAATAAATACGTAAATAACGACCATTGTAATAATTGGGTATACCATTTCACTAGTTGGGTTCAAAACAAAAAAAATAAAAAAAACGAAAAGGAAAAAAAAAAATTAAAAGCAAGGGATGGGGCTACTTCTTCCGATGTAACACGAACGAGAAATTTCTAAGCAATAATTTTGACGAAGCTATTTTTTGAAGTTGAACTTGCTGGGTGATAATTGTAGTCAAGGATTGTTATGGTAAGATAATTAAGCTTCGAGTTTAGAAAGATAAAGGTTGATCACAAATGTGTAAGTAGTGAAATTTGAGCTCCAATACATTCACTCGAAATAGTGAAAATCTAAGAAGTATGAATATTTTTAAGAAAGTAATGTGCGAAGTTTGATATCGCGTTAAACACCAACACAACATGACATTTATTGGACACTTTTTAACACTTAAACACAAATTGAATATATTGCAAATTTGAATAAAATTTAAAATCCATTGACAAAACGAAAATAATGTAAATTTATACATGTTTTTCTCATTTGAATTTCAAAAAGTATTATGACCTATAATAATTATATAGCATTGTATATGACAAAAAAATAAATATATAAATTATATATTTTGCACGTGCCTTCACGTATCATATCCAACATTTTAAATTTTTTTACAAATCAATATCATGTTCATCAATGGCGGAGCCAAAAAATTAAATCAGAGGGGACACTTATTAATTACAATATTATTTCACATAAATTTTTACGATTGTCTTCAAGAAAGATAAAAAAGAAAAATCAGTGTGTTTGATTTAAGTTTTTTGAATTAAGTTTTTTGAAAATTAAGTTTTTTATTTTTCGTATTTTTTTATTTTTAGTGAATATTTTTAAAATTTTAAGCATTTTTTTGCTTTTTTAGATGCATCTTACTTAGATGTGTCTAAAAAAAATAAAATATTTATGAAAAATATTTTAAAAAATTAATAAATACATAAAAATACGAAAAATGTACTAATTTTTTGTATTTTTTTTATATTTTTGGTATTTAGTGAATTTTTTAAAGATTTTTTTTTGCAAAAATTAGACTTTTTAAGTGTATTTATATTAGGTGTGTCTAAAAATTAAAAAAATTGTTTAAAATATTAAAAAAATTCAGTAAAAACAAAAAAAAATATGAAAAACAAAAAAATAGAATTTACTGAAAAGTGTTTTTAAAAAACTCAAACCAAACAAAGTGAATATTATTTGTAATTAGTGTATCATGTACAATATTAAAAAAAGTCATGGATATAAAGTTTTAAAATAAATTATATGATAATTTTTTATACAAAATATGCATACAAATTCAATATAATAGTCATACCACGTCGTCATTGATATGTGATATCACTAACCAATAGTAAAAAAACACATATAGGATGAACCCTATATATCAAATGTAACTAACAATTAATAAGTTATATATTTTCATTGAGATTAATTATGTTTGCATGTCAATAATGATAGATATTACCATTATATTAGAATTTTTATAGATAATAATATCGTAATCTCTTTATTTTCAATCAAAACAATCATTATTGTTCTTATAATTTTAAAAATGTCATTGACATTTCACTCTAAATAATATTTTTATAAATTTTTTTACTTAAAATATTTATTTATGTTTTGCCAAAAAAAAAATTCAAAATCAAAGGGGGCACGTGACCCCCTAGACCCTCCTTCCCTCCGCCTCTGATGCTCATGTCATGCCATGTGTTCGTACATATTAGATAAAACTCAATTGAACTTCTTAGATAAATACTATAAACTTTTCAATAAAACTCAATTGAACATTGGGGTATTATTTCAAACAATTGTTATTGCAGTGTTTGTCGTCGAGCAAACAAAGTTGCTCATTTGTTGGCTCATCGAGTCAATCGAGAGGAGTTCATATTTGTGGGCTCATCGAGTTAGTAGTCATCGAGTTAGTAGTCACTTCAAATATTTATACTTTTGTGATTTCTTGATATAATATCTATGATTGAGGGAGAAAAAAACTTGCATCCAACCACCACAATGTTGCCATATGAGTAATTGTTTCTATCAACATTTATTTAATTTATCAAATCCAATTAAAGCAAGAAAATTTGACGACACAATGATATTACTCATGGTAATTCCACTCCAACTACTAAATTTAATGTGGCAGCCTCAATATAATAAAAGATAAGTTAGGAAGTTCTACTTGAACTGCTAATTTTAATATGACAACCGTAACGGCATTGGAAAGCTTCGCCTGAACTGCTAATTTCATCATGGTAGCCTTTTGTTGGTTACATATTTTGTATAAGTCAATTACAATTCGAAACGTGGCAAAATAAGGATAATATAAGAAGACTATTCAAGTCTTCGATTCTGATCGTACACGTGATAGTTAGTATTGGTTATTACGAGATCTGAGTAGCAGTGGATCAACAAAGAGATGCAAGGTGATGTGATTTCAACAGTTACTCACATTTAAAATTCAAATTTAGGAGGGAAGCCTAACTGCAAGTAATGGCGTAATGGAACTAATCCTGAGGCAACATGATCAGCGATCATGGAGGAGCAGTTCGACAGTTAGAAATGTAGTTCGATGGTCATCCTTGAGCAGTATAAATAGCAGAGAAGGTCCCAGAAAAGCTCCCCAGACTCAGATCAAAAAAATCAGTCTTATTCTACTTATTTTACATTTCCAGTTTTACATTTCTAGTCTTATATTTCTTGTACTTTAAATTCCTGCACTGTATTTCGTTAATAGGAGTAGCTTCAAATAGATTGTTGCTGTAAATCTCTGCGAGGCTGAGTTTGGATCATTGTAAGTTTTTCATTTTAATGAAATATTTCAACTGTTCTTCATTTAATTGTTATTTTGCTTATTTCTCCTAAATCAAACCACCAGTAAAAGTCCTCTTCATTGAGGCTGAAAGAACTAAAGCACAATCGTCTGATAATTGGTTGGCAATTAATTCTCTGCAAGAACTGATTGATCCTTGTTGGCATGCTCGCAATTACAATAATAACCTTCGAAAGTCAAAAAGCCAACACCTTTTAACAGTAACAAATGACAAGTTTTAACAGTAATAAATGGTAAGTTAGAAAGTTCCACTTGAATTACTAATTTCAATGTGGCAGCTTCAATGGTAACAAATGGTAAGTTGGAAAGTTTCACTCGAAGCTTTATATATGATGAGGCAATTAGCACACGACACATGTTGAGACAATTAGCACATGACTTTATATATGAAGGCTATAAACTTTTCAATAAAAAATTTAATTGAACATTGGGGTATTATTTCAAAGAATTATTATTGCAGTGTTTGTTGTCAAGCAAATAAAGTTGCTCATTTGTTGGCCCATCGGGTTAGTCCAGAGGTGTTCATGTTTGGATGGAAGATGTAAGTTAAGACATATTTTTTAGTAGTCACTTCAAATACTTATACTTTTGTGATTTCCTGATATAATATCTACAATTAAATGGGAAAAAAAACTTGTATCCAACCACCACAGTGTTGCCATATGAGTAATTGTTTCTACCAACATTTATTTAATATATCAAATCCAATAAAAGCATCAAATTTGGCTACACAATGATATTGGTTCCACTCCAACTACTAATTTCAATGTGGCAACCTCAATGGTAATAAAAGGCAAGTTAGAAAGTTCTACTTGAACTGCTAATTTTAACATGACAATTCAATTGTAACAAATGATAAGTAGGAAAGCTCCACTTGAATTGCTAATTTCAATATTAGAGTCTCTCAACTGTAAAAAATTACAAGTTTAACTGTAATAAATGTCAAGTTAGAAAGCTCTACTCGAATTGCTAATTTCAACATAGTAGCTTCAACGGTAACAAATAGCAATTTAGAAAGCTCCACTCGAAACTTTATATGTGATGTGGTAATTGGCACGTGGCAACCTCAACAGTAACAAATGGCAAGTTTGAAAGCTTCACTCGAAGCTTTATATATAATGTGGCAATTAGCACACAACAACCTCAACGATGACAAATGACAAGTTAGAAAGCTCCACTCAAAGCTTTATATATATGATGTAGCAATTTGGTTAACACGTGGTACAATTTTTTTTAATCATTTTATTATCAAATTAGTTGTTTGAGTTTACAAGAGTAACAAATTTAGTACACAAAATTTATTTTTTTTAATAATTTTTTCTTCATTTTATTATCTATAAATTTGGAATTGGATAGTATAGAAAACCATGTTCAAGTAGAAATTAATAAAAACTTGGAATTTTGTTTAACAAGTTAATTGAATAGCATATTTTGTAAGAAATAAGATACGATTCAAATGGACCAAACTTCTTTTAAAAAGAAATTTATTTAAAAATGAAGAAAATATACTTATACTTTTGTAATTTCTAGGTATAATGTCTAGAATAAAAAGTTGTATCGAACCACCACAATATTTTGGTATGAGTAATTGTTTCTATCAATATTTATTCAATGCATCAAATACAATTGAAGCAACAAAATTTGGCAACATATAACATAACTCATAATAGCTTCATTTGAACTATCAATTTCAATGTGACAATCTCAACGATAACAAGTGGCCTCGTTTGGAAACTCTCATTTTTAGTCAAAAAGTCAAAAAATTATTAAATTAGTCAAAAAATTAACAATCTATACCAAAAAGTCAAAGATTCTCTTTTCTCTCTACTTCTTGCATATCTTTTCGTAAAAAGCAAAAAAGTCATCCTAAACATACTAATTTTTTTTAACTCATATTTTAGTCAAATAATTAAAAAGTTACTAAATTAACCTATTCCTAAACGAGACCTTAATATATGATGTGGCAGTAAACATACTGTTTCATACTGATGAAAGATTGGCATGACTTACACGTGGTGCCATTTTTTTTTTATTATTTTATTATCAAATTGGTTGTTTGAGTTTACAAGAGTAACAAAATCAGTGCACAAAATTGATTTTTTATTTTTATTTATTTTTACTATTACTTATTTTTTTCCCAACAATTTTGCCTTCTTCATTTTATTATCTATAAATCTGGAGCTGAATAGTGTAAAAAACCATGTTTAAGAAATAATTAATAAAAACTAGGAATTTTGTTTAAGAAATTGATTGACTAGCATTTGTTTTATAAAAAAATATTATTTAAATGGGCACAAATCTCTTTTAAAACGAATTTTTTTTAATTAATAAAATAAAATAGTTTAAGAAATATTAAAATAAAAAATTTGACAAAACGACAGTGTGCTATTTTTAAATATGTTAAATTTAAAAATACTAATTTGCCCCTCAAAAAAGTTTTTATATACAAAAGTTTGAAAATTTGAATGAAGATTCTCTCAATTTAAAATAAATAAATTTTATTTTATACTTAGATCTCGTTTGGGAACAAGCTAATTTAGTAACTTTTTAACTATTTGATTAAAATATGAGCAAAAAAAATTAGTGTGTTTGAGATGACTTTTTGACTTTTTATGAAAATATGTGCAAAAAGTAGAGAGTTTGTATGAGTTGTTGGCTTTTTAATTTTTTTAATGATTTTTTGACTAAAAAAGTAACTTGCCAAACGAGGCCTTAATCAATAAAAGAAAAATAAATTATTTGTTGAGTAGAAGATGATTTAAAAGTTGAAAGGGTTGTCTTAAAATAAGGAAATAACAGTATATGAGAGACCAATAGCATATGTTTTATTTGCACCCAATTAATTTATAATAAAAATAAAATTATTATTTATTTATAAAATATTATATCTATATATTATTTACAAAATCCCTTCTCCATACAGCTATTCCCTCCTCTCTTCACAGCTGCCAGTCGAGTTGGCCTTCGTCTTCTCTTTCCTTTTTCCGTTTCAATTCTCTCCCAAAACCCTAATCTCTCTCTCTCTCTCTCGATCGAATCGTTCACAGACATGCTTCAACCTTTCCACACCAATTAAAACTCATCGAATCCTCTTTCGAACGATCCATTTCTCAACATCTAACCACAGGTCTCTCTCTCTCGCTCTCTCTCTCTCTCTCTCTCTCTATATATATATATGTATGTATGTATAAAGACGTGAAATTTAGGGATTTAATAATAATCTAGTACAGTTCTTGAATCGATAGAGTTTTCTTTGTTGTTACAGGTATATAGCTCGATTTGTGTATGTCTTGTGGTTTGGATTCTGCATATAGAACATGAAGCGCGAGTTAGCTTTCGTATTACAGACACAGTGTGAGCTCGCTGGTTCGCTGGGTCGAACCCGAGCGTCGAAGGTTCACACTTGGAGTGTGGATTTGAATGGAGTGAGTGAGGATAGAAGCAGCAAAAGATTTAAGGGTTCTGTAGTAAAAGATTCGGATTCGAGTGGTCAGATTGATGGATCTCAATCTCGAGATCAGATTCAAGAGACGGTAAGGGTATATAGGAGAACCAGAAGGTTTAAGAATGCTGATTCAGGGGTTGAACAGAAGGTGAGTCTGGTTGAAAGACTCGAAACTGTAATTGAGGACAAAACTAAGTGCAATTTGGTAATGTGTGAAGACGAGAACAAGGGTGAGTTCGCTGAGGCTTTAAGTAAGGAAGAGTTAAGGGTTGGTAGTGAAAATCCTACTGTCAATGAAGGAGGCTCTGAGGCTGTTCCCATGGCGGTTCATGAGAATGTTGAGGCAAGGAATGATGAGAACAATGGGTCAAGTAATGATGCAACTAATGAAGTGAGGAATGACTTGAATAATGAGGTAATATGTGATGTGTTGGTTGAAGGATTTACAGAGACAGCATTGAACTCAAAATCAGAGGTGGAGGTGGTGAAGTGTTCGGGATTGGTGGCTGCTGATGGTGGTGAGAACGAAACAGTTACGAATGTTGAGGTGAATGAAAGTGGCAGTGTTAATGCTTTGGGGACTCCAACAAAGAAGTTGGAACTGAAAATGTCGAAGAAGATTGCATTGGGGAGGACGCCGAAAACGGTGAAGGAGCTTTTTGCTACTGGTTTGCTTGAGGGGTATTCTGTTTTTTACAATGGTGGTGACAAGGTAGACTTGCTAATTTATTTCTTTACTTTTCAGGGCATTTCTGGGCATCCCAGCAGAGTTGATTGTTATATTTGCATTGCATATAGAATCATATATATGTACATGTCTGTATATGTGTGTAATCATGTGTGCATTTTGTTTGGTACACCCATTTTCATCAGTGATAGTGGATGAATAGAACCAGGACATTCACTGGAACTTAAATTTACACTTCATGCTTGATTTTGTACTTCTTAAGGGGGAAAGGAGGTCTTTCTTGAAATGTAGAACTCACAATCAGTTATTATGATTCTTCCGATTTTGTTTGGAGTTTCACCTCACTTCCAAATTCTATACAAATTATGATCGGCCCATTCAGTTTCAATTTCATTCACAAACATACCCTTCTTGTTATTATTAGCAGTCAATATTTCCAATTCCAACTTCAGACAAAAAAATTGTATTTTAATCGCAGGGATTTCGAGGAATGATTAAGGATGTTGGGATCTTGTGCTTTTGTCGTTTGTGCAATGGATCCAGAGTGAGTATTGTTATTTTGATTATTTCGATGCCACTTTACCAGTTTGCCAACTTTTGCAGTTTGCTAACCAGTTTCTCTCACGAGTATGTATTAAAAATTTTGAATCTTTATTGCTTTCCTACATGTAGGTTGTTAATCCCTGTCAATTTGAGATACATGCTTGTAAATCATACAGACGTGCGGCACAGTATATATGCCTTGAGAATGGGAAAAGCCTCCTCCAGGTATTGAAGGCTTGCAGGAACTCTCCTGTGGATACATTGGAGGAAACGATTCAGAGTTTCATTGGTCCATTGGCTGTAAAGGAATCTATCATTTGTCAAAATTGCAATGGTGAGTTTTGCTCTTTTTAACTCTTATCTCTTAACATGTTTGGAAGCAAGTGCTAATTTTTATTTTTATTTTTAAATATATATATATATATCTTTGGCTGTAAGTGAGTTTATTAGATGCCTTTCTTTGTTGATTTAAGGGTCCTTTCTTGCAACAATTGCTGAGAAGGTGGAGCAACTTTGCCAGTCATGTGTGGGTTTGAAGAGCTTGGAAGCCACCCCAAGTCATGCAACTGATACCAATGATAGGTATGCTTTGCTTAGCAGTTATTTCTCATGTTTCTATTACTTATGTCTCGATCTTGACTTCATTGTTTTCAATCACAGTACTTTGTACGTCTCCTTTGCTTTTTGCTAATTTAGATATTAAACAATTGATGGTTATTTGTTTCAATTTAAGATTTATATGATGGAGTATGTTAGTGAACTCTTTGAGGAATTGAAAAATACTTGATATGGTTTGAAAGCTTGTGATGCTACAAGGCATCAAATTTTGCTGTCAAAAGAAAGCATCTTCATAAATGAGATATCCATGCATATGTAGGGTGTCACAAACAAGTTTGAAAGCATTGAGAAAAATTTGAAGCATCTATTCCATTCTCTATTTGTCTTTAATTTTATTGGTAATTTGTACATGATTGTGAATTTATAGCTTATGGGAGTTGGGCTTTTGAGGGCAGTGTGTGAAGTTTAGAGTATTTTTCAAATGAGACCTTCCAAAATCCTAAGCCTAATCCTTTTTACTCTTTTAGTCTAAATCTAAACCCTAATCCTAATTAATCCACTATTGTGGCGCTCAGAACTTTGATCTCCCCTTTGTGTCGAGCTGCTGCTTTCAGTTTCATGCTGTAAGTGCCTTAAACTGCCTTAAATCTGAAGCTATACAAGCCTAAGTCCTTCCTTAGATCAACAATTACGCTTTAATACCTACTGTCGCAGCTTTAGTAACCTTTATTTCGTATTTTGAACACAAAATTTCAGAATGTTGCTTCATTCAATTTCATACCCAAATCACCTTAAATCTCAAAAAATGCAAGCCCAAAACCTTCCTTGTATTCTATTTTTACCTTCTTGGGCATAAATCCTAAAGTTTAAAGTGCTGGCCTCCTGAGTCAATGTTGGCATCGGTATTGTAGTATACCTAAAAACCAGTTAATCAACTCATCTGCTTCTAGGATGGATTTGGGAGATCATATTTGGGGAATTGTCGGATTAGGAAGGATGAAGCATACCTGACTCAAGTTTGGGTGGGTTTGGTATTATGAATCTCACCCTGCCATATTTTGCCCCAGTTATACTTTTAATATACTTAACCTTACTATCTTACGGATTGCTGAAGTTGCCCTTGATATATAAAGAGGTTAGGGTTGCAGTAATATTTTGTTTTCCCATAGTATGTGGTAAGAATTAAAGTGTATGCTTTCATTTGGGTTTTTTCAGATCTTTCAAATTAGCCTTGGCTTTAAGAAAGTCCACTAGAAGTGCTAAAGCAGGCATTTCATCACAAGATAGAAGTGAAGGGAGGGTAACAAAAAAGAGGTACCTCTTTTTGTTAATTTCATTTCTTTAAGCGAGATTCCCTTCACTGTGTGTGTGCAAGCTTAAAATATTGGAATTTTATGACTGGATATTCTCTTTCCGTCTTTCTCTCTTTTGATGCTTCCAGCTGGGTTATTTCAGGTCGTTAAAACCGGCTTTGGCTCCAAAGTCCTCTGGAAGTGCTTCTGTGCATATTTTTTCTGGAAAAAGGAGTCAAGGGAGGATAGCTCAAAAGTTGGTCTCTTTCCTAGTTCATTTTTCATGGACTAGGATTTTTTTATACTATAATATAGAATTATAGCGAGATATTATTATTTATATATTGATATGCTGCTTTTGTCTGGGTTATTTCAGTTCTTCAAGATCACCTTTGGTTTCAAAGTCCACTGCAAGTGCTTCTTTGCTTATTTCATCAAAAAGTAACAGTCAGAGGAAGAAAACAGTAAAGTTGGTGTCTTTTGTGGTTTATTTTCTTTTCCTTTAAGTGAGATTCCCTTATATAATGGAATCTATTTATTGAAATTCAATAAATTTTTTCAAAGAGGCTTTTATGCGTGTCATTTCAGGTCTTCAAAACCAGTATCAGCTCGAAAGTCAAATGGAAGTGCTTCAGTGCGCATTTCATCACAAAATAAGAGTCTACCAAATAATACAAAAAAGTGGGTATTTGTTTTTATTTAATTTCATGTCCGGTGACTATGCACTCTCTCTCTGTCTTTAAATGATTTCATCTGGATGTACCAGGTCATCAAAAGCTGTTTTGATTGCAAGGCCCTCTAAAAGTGCTTCTCCTAGTATATCTTCACAAAAGAAGAGCAAATGGAAGATAACAAAAAAGTTCGTATATAGTTATGTATGGTTGGGGTAGCATTCTTCTAGCTTAGCTTGTTCTTCAACGTATGATTCGAGAAATAATTTCTGTTGGTCTTGTGATGTCTTTTATCTAGAGATCTGCGGTTGCATAAGTTGGTTTTTGAGGATAATGGATTACCAGATGGAACTGAAGTAGCGTACTATTCTCAAGGGCAGGTTGTTGATGTAAAGTTTAGATGTTTTATCTGTTTAATAATTTTGATCATATGAAGTAATCACTTCTTATTAACAGAAATTGCTTGAGGGTTTTAAAAGGGGCCTGGGAATATTATGTCGTTGCTGCAACTCGGAGGTATTTTTCTTCCTACCCTCAGACCTTCTAAAAATTCTATTAAGAGTTTTCATATTCATTACAATGAATGAGCAGGTCAGCCCCTCACAGTTTGAAGTTCATGCTGGTTGGGCCTCACGTAAAAAGCCGTGAGTCATTTCTTCCCTGTTGTAAAATCATAGTGGTTTGTCTATTTTTAAAAATTATTTTTAAATGCTGTCTATGTTACCCACAGCTATCAATACATTTACACTTCAAATGGGGTGTCTCTGCATGAATTTGCAATATCTCTATTGAAAGGTCGTAAACATTCTGCCAAGGACAACGATGACCTATGCACCATCTGTGCTGATGGTGGGAATCTATTGCTTTGTGATGTATGCCCAAGGGCGTTCCATATAGGTGAAATTCAAATTCCTACAAAGAATGATACTTGTTACTAGCTTTTTCATCAGCTTTGTTGCTCTTATTGTGTATCTTACATGAATATCATTTTGAATTTCTATATTGGTGTGTAAGCTAAAAGCAAGACACTGAAGTACATAACTAGCGGAGCAAACTGAGCCTTTTTTTAAAACATTAAATTTAAATTTCGTTCATTAATTGATATCTGTGAACCCTCTAGTTAGAATTAAGAGGAGCAAATAAACTAACTTCTGAAATCACAAATCAGAGTAGTGGGATTCATGTGAACGGTAACACTCTAAAGGTACTATGTAGAAAATGCCAGACTTCTGACATCTTGTGCCTGAATTTAAGAATTGTGCAATAAAATGCCATTCCTGTTTGCTTCTTTTGCTTGATTTTTAGACTGCTTTCCTGTACTGTACTAGTTGCCTTTCTGAATTGGTTCGGTGGTGGTCAACGTGAGTGATTTTGATGTACATTCTCACTGACCTATGCAGAATGTGCATCACTGTCGAGCATTCCTCGTGGTAAATGGTATTGTAAATATTGCCAGAACATGTTCCAAAGGGAGAAGTTTGTGGAGCATAATGCTAATGCTGTAGCAGCCGGAAGAGTTTCAGGAGTTGATCTTATTGAACAGATAACCAAGCGCTGCATTCGAATTGTCAAAAATCCAGAAGATGCTGAGGTCATTGCATGTGTTTTGTGCAGGTACTGGTTACGCTATGCAAAATTAATTATCAATCCTTAGATTTTCTTCATGATTTTTATTGCTGTTCATTCTGAGTCTGACATTGTGCTTATATTAAACTTTACCTTTAGTTAATATCATCCTTTTTTTTTGTCCTTCATTTGTTGGTTTATCTAGAGGTTGATGTTTTTCAATCTGCTTTATGCAGAGGTTATCAGTTTAGAAAATCTGGATTTGGTCCACACACAGTAATAGTTTGTGATCAGGTACTCTCTGTTCTTTATGTTGGTTCCTTATTTTTTTATTTTTATTTTTTTTAAACTCATCCGAGTTACAAAGTGATTTGAATCATAGTTGTCAAATTGTGAATTGAAATTTCCTTTTTGTTGAATTGTGAATCAATTTGGGTTGCAAACCGTAAAGATTCTGTTTTAATTTTTGATACACAAAAATATATCTAAACAAATAGATATTAAAGATATACTATAAATACGATATAAATAAACAAATTGCTTCTTTTAAATGATGCACGTGGGTGTAATAGGGAAGATGCTTGTGTCTATGGCAAGATATGTGTGTACAATCCCTGATATGATCTATGATCCAATATTACATTATTAATTATGCCACAGTTTTTAATAATCTAAGAAGCACAAACACTTCAATGGAGGAGGCGTGTCATGTTGGACACAACACTCTGTGAACAGTCCTAAAAGCGTGTCCGACATTCTGATGCAATTCCTGCATTCATCGATTCACTCCTTAGATATGCTTCAATTGCTTGGTGTATCAAACTGAATCGTGCAATATGTATTGTGAATCGTACAATTCTGATAATAGAGATTTGAACGTAGAATGCCTTTCTATGAATCTTCTTGTGCTTATACTGACTAACTAGTACATGCTATTATTCATTTGCTTCCCAGTGTGAGAAGGAATATCATGTTGGCTGCTTGAAGAAACATAAAATGGATGATCTAAAGGTGTGCACATATGTTGTTTTTCATTGTTTGCACCTACTTTACTTTGTATGAGAAATTCCATTTGTTTGCACAGAACACCTGCTACTTCATTTCTAGATCAAAATTTGAAGCCACTTATGCAACAGGAATTGCCAGAAGGGAAGTGGTTCTGCTGCATGGTTTGTAGGAGGATCTATTCTGCTTTGCAGAATTTGCTCGTTCGTGGAGAAGAGAAGATCCCGGATTCTCTTTTGGATGTCATAAAGAAGAAGCATGAGGAAAAAGTTTCTGATACTGTCACTGATTTTGATGTGAGATGGAGGATTCTCAGTGGTACAATTGCTTCTCCTGAAACTAGATTGTTGCTCTCGAAAGCTGTTGCCATCTTCCATGTAAGTACTGTTCGTGCTGTACTTTGATACCGAATTTGTCCAGTGATTTAGTGCTTGCTTGCAATTGGTGTGAACATAATTTGGTAGTATTTTGGTTGTGATTGAAAAACTATATCTTATAATTCTGTCTCTTTTAATTAATTTTAATAGACATGGATGCATGTTTTTATGGATTGACATGTCTCTGTGATTATGTGAGACCATTTCAATTTTAAAATGTTTTTTTTTTATATTATTATTTCTATAGTTTGTCACAGAATGTAAATTTTTTATTTTTTTTGGGTGTAGCTTTTGTGCTTCATATAAAATTGGAACTTACAAAGGTTTGATTTGTTGTATAGGGATATGGTTTTGGTTTCAGTTTTTGTGTAAATGGTGGTGTTCCCTCAGCACCATTTTACCCCTTTTTTATTTTTTTTTTAACCTGTCAAAGAATTAAAGACACATAGTCATTGTCTCTCATTCAAGGAATATTACAGATAGAAACATAAGTTACTGTGACTTAATAATGTCTCCTAAAAGTTGTATTGCGAACATCTAGTCGTTTGCCCTCTGTGTGGTGCTCATGCTTTCTTAATTGATAGGCAGGCTAATTTGATTGACATAGAGCTTATTCATTTTGATGCCCTGAGTCTACTCTAAGCATATTTCTAGAAGTTCAGCCCTGAGTCTACTCTAAGCATATTCATTTTGATGCACTGGCTCCAACTTGACTGATTTGTACAAAGAAATCCCTGGTCTATTCTCTTTGCATTCATAGGGATTATAACAATGAGTTAATGAAGTATTGTTTGTAACAACGACTTCACGTGTCTTGTAAGAAACATTTAATTCATATAAAGATATGTATAATTAAGTTGTGTAAAAAAAAAAAAGGATTAATTATTGAAAAATGGAAAATATAGAAAGTGGTTTTCAGTTTGCTTAGAAAAATAAAAAATAAAAAGGCTTCAGCAAATCTTTACTTAATTTTTACGAGTTCAAGTGACGTGCTTGCTATGTGCATTTGGTAATCTGTTAGTGTGGTTGTTGACTAGAGTTTAAGCTGAAAAACAATATAATGGTTGCTATACTGCTTTAAGGTATCTAATGTTGAAACAATTGTTAATACTTGCCCATGCTTATTTTTCAGGATTGCTTTGACCCTATAGTTGACTCAGCAACTGGCCGTGATTTTATCCCATCTATGGTTTATGGGTAACCATCGTATCTTTGGGCCTGTCATACCTTTTTACTTTTCTCCATTTTTTTCTTATTTTTTTTTGTCCTTTTTTTTTTTTTTCTTCCCTTTCTTGCTGATGTATTTCCATTCTTGTCTTCTCTCTGTCTCTCCTCTCTGTTTTTGTGTTTGTATGTATCTGTCTCTTGTAGAAGGAACATAAGGGGCCAAGATTTTGCAGGAATGTATTGTGCAGTATTAACCATAAAGTAAGAATTTTTCCAACAAAAATGTGCTTTTTTTTGGTGATTCCATTCCAGGTTACCTCACCTAAGAAAGGAATTAAAAGAAGTATTTTTATTTTGATGAATCCATGCATTTTTGCTCCGAGGTTGTCAGTAACAGGATTCTTTCCTTATCATGCAGTTCATCAGTTGTGTCAGCTGGAATCTTCAGAGTTTTTGGACAGGAAATTGCAGAGCTCCCTTTAGTTGCAACAAGTAATGGTAACCAAGGCAAGGTGAGGTTAATATGTGCTTTCTCTTGCATGCATGTGTATGCCATTTTCTTAACTCCTGCCACTGAACTCTGTTAATGCCAAAATTCAGCAGGGCAAAAGGGATTGATTTGAGGGGATATCAGTGTTTTTTCTACTTAATTTAAATATAAACCACCACGCATATATTGTGAATCAGCAGAAACCTAATGAATCATTTGGGTTAAAGATTTTCAGGGAAAAAAAAACTCAAACATTCATCTTTCACCATAGTTTGTATTCTTTCTTTATTGGATTCCAATATATTTTCTGAAAATCCGATATTTGAACAGGGCTACTTCCAGATATTGTTTTCGTGCATTGAGAAACTCCTTGCGTTCTTGAACGTGAAGAGCTTGGTGCTCCCTGCTGCTGAAGAAGCAGAATCTATATGGACACAGAAATTCAGTTTTGAAAAAATGTCCCCAGAACAAGTATGAATGTGTTATAATCTGCTTGTTTTTACTACCACAAATTTGAACCTTTCTTGACATTAATATTCTCGAATGTCCCTTGTTGATCTGCAGCTTAGTGACCACAGAAAAACCTGTTGGCAAATGTTGACCTTCCAAGGAACGGCTATGCTACAAAAAAGGGTTCCCCAGTGTCGAATTATTCAGCAAGATGGTGTTGATGTACCTATGGAGTCCAGTTGAGTGCTGCGAAGCAGTTTTTGTTGTTGACTTTGTCTTCTTTTTGTACATTGGATGTGTATTTTGGTGGAATATTAGTTATTTTCAGTATTAGTTGTTTCCTTTATAAACAAAACATTGGAATTAAGATGTCAATAGTAGATGAAATAGAGTTACAATAGAGTTTACTAAAGATACAACAAAACCATAGAGGGCTTGTGATTTTGTAAAGATAGTGATATTAAATGCATTTTATTTGTTTTTTAATTTTTACGGAGAACAAGCAAATCTCAGTTCAGTAGTATGGATTGGTTTTGAATGATGTCTTGTTTGCAAAATTCCTTTTATCATGCAATATAATTTCTTTTCAAAACCCTTTAAAATGAGCCAATTTTTCTATTTTCCGTTTTGGGGACGTTGTTTTGCATAATAGTCCTTTTAATTTATTTTTGAGAAATTCCACTGTACAACTTTTGAAAGGGGTATAATACATGCACTCCTAATTATACAATTTTCTTTTTTAGTAATAATTAATTTTGTTCTTTAATTATGACAATATTTTAGTTATAATTTATGAGATCTTTAATTATGTTTCATATGGTGTTTGGTTATATATATATATATATATATATACATATATAGTTAGAATTTAGAAAATATAATTATACTATTTTTTTTTTTTTAGTTATAAGGTGTATAGGTGTGTACCATGGTCTCTCTTTATTTTTTTTTGTATTTTTTACAAGGGTCATTTTTTTGATAAATCCTCTTTCCAATTATTTTATTCCATCTAACCTATATTTTTTTTAGTATTCTATTAAGTCGTGTTTAATGTAATATGACCAAATCATCATTTCTAATTTTTTGCACATGTTTCTATTTGAAATTAATAGTACATAATAATAGTCTCTCATTTTATGGAGAAAATATCTCCATCATTTTAAAGAGAAAATCTTTACCTTATTCTATGGAGAAAATTTCTCCTTTATTCTAAAGAGAAAATCTCTCCTCATTCCATGGAGAAAATCTCAAATTATGAATTTTGAACCTTTTTATAATTTGAAAATTTGAAAAACAATGCTACAAAAAATCTAAATGAAAATCAAAATATAATGTGAATGTTTACAATAAACAATAAACATACAACTAACTTTTGAAAAGATAAAACACAGTAAAATATAATGTGAATGTTCACAATAAACAACAAACATACAACTAGCATTCGAAAAAAACGAAATTCATATTAAAATACAATGTGAATGTTCACAAGTTATAATTAATATATAACTAGCCTTAAAAAAAAAAACTCATACTAATGTAAACATTTACACTGCAACATGAAAATATAAAACAAAATTAAAAAAGTAAAAATTGACTATTTCGATTGTTCAATGATAACAAAAATAATTGTTCATCTAACAAGCGTAGTAAAAAAAATAACAAAATAAAATTACCTTTTGAAAAAACTTCAAAAAAAAAAAAAAAAAAAAACTAATATCAAAATACAATATGAATATTCATAATTTACAATTAACATACAATTAACCTTAAAAAAAATAACTCGCACCAATATAAACATTTACACTGCAACGTGAAAATATAAAAACAAAATTGAAAAATGTGAAAACCAACTATATCAATTGTTCAGTTGTAACAAAAATGATAAATGATTGTTCAACGGTAACAAAAATGATAGTTTAACTAACAAACATAGTAATAAAAACAACAAACATACAATTAACTTTTGAAAAAATAAAATTTACACCAAAATACAATGTGGATGTTCACAATTTACAATTAATATACAACTAGTTCAATGGTAACAAAAATAATTGTTCATCTAACAAGCGTAGTAAAAAAAATAACAAAATAAAATTACCTTTCGAAAAAACTTCAAAAAAAAAAAAAAAAAAAAAAAAAACTAATATCAAAATACAATATGAATGTTCATAATTTACAATTAACATACAATTAAGCTTAGAAAAACTAAATTCATACCAATGTAAACATTCACACTGTAACATTAAACAAAATTGAAAGTGAAAAAAAATGACTATTTCAATTGTTTAATGGTAACAAAAAATGATTGTTCAAACAATAAGTATAACAACAAATAACTAATAATATGTGAACATTCATATCTTGCAAAATATATAACTATGTCCATATCTATATTCCAATACTTATTTCTCAGATTTTCAAATAACGTGAAATGTAAACATTCATATTGATTGACAAAAAAATAGAAACAATGGTAATAATAGAATTAGAAATCCAAAAAAAACGCGATCACTTTAAAAATAAAAAAAAAAATCACCCGCATCCTCATCCTCATCCTCATCCTCATCCTCAACCTCATCATCATCTTTATATTATCACTATTATTAACAATCTATGCAATTTCACCATTTCACCAATCCAAATAAAATCAAACCCACATTTGAAGAATATGTTTGTAATAAAATTGACTGGACATAAATAGAGTTTCGACTTACAACAATGGAGGAACATAGAGTTTCGAACATAGAGCAATAATGGACTAACACAGAATTTCGAACACAAAGTGACAATGAAGGAACACAAAGTTTCACTGCAACAATAGAGGAATATAATATTATTTCACCATCATGTATAAATTAGAATTTCTAAATCCTACCAAATAGAGAGTTTCGAAACTCTAGCACAATGAAATAATACTACAAATTTGAATGAAACTAATCAAAAAGAAAACGTGAATAATGGTAACTACCAAAATAGAGATAGCAACAAAAAGAAAATGTGTATATCATTTTTCTATATAATGTATATCAATAATAGACATAAGAGTATAATAATCTAACAAACAATATAAATTAGAAAAAAAAAAAGACCTCATAAAATAAAATTATAAATATATGGGACTAAGTTATAATTTTATTTGATAAATTTATTTAATTATAACCCTTCTAAATAAGATTTATCAATAAAAACTCTTTTTATTTACAAATATAACGCTGTTATCACCCATCTTATGTCTCTGGTGATCTCATACAAATTACAATAAAGACATAGGTAAGGTTCTTCTTAGATTGCATGTAGAGGGATCTCGCCCCGTCCTGTATGAATTGTTTTTCCGCCCCAGTTAAGAAGTGGGACGTGGGCGGATTTTACTTTTCCCATCCCGTTTCATTAGAATCCTGTCCTAATTACATTTATTAAATATATTTATATATACATATAATATTTATTTTTTATTATAATAAAATTAAAATATCAAAATATTATACTTAATATTGATTTTTATTCATTTATTTTCTATCTTATATGATATAATTTTCATTAAGTATAAATTATTATTCATACTATATTATTTATAATTTTTGTTAATATTTTTATTTTTCAACTTACAAAATTATACTTTGCACCCATCCCACTTTCGTTATCCTCCGATTTGTCACACCCCCGATATGATATGGGGCAATAGATTTCTATAAACCCACACAAACCCAACCCGTGACATTCTTAAATTTAAATATATGAATTTCAATACAATATTTAAAATTTAGAATTCAATTATAAATTTGGGAGATTTGAATTGATAGATTTGAAATAACTTGCTGACTATAATTATTTGTAATAAATGATTTTAATTGCATAACTTTTGAACAAAATACACCTTTATTTATATTGAATTCTTTAGTTTTAACTTGCACAAATGACTCAATAGTTATAGTTAAGGGATTAAATATGAGACCAATACTATGAGATAACATATGCTTGACTTTACCTTAGCAATGTTCTCCCAAACCTTTTATATTATAATCAAATTGGGTTAAATACAATCAGATCTTTAGTGTAGAGTAATGTCATATTCAACTCTCATAGAGTGTAAATAGACTCCAACCACTTATTTAAAATTTAGTTATAAGGTCTTTATTAGATTTATTTTTTTAACAAATAGGTCAATTTACCGTAAATTATCAACTTTATCATTAATAATCAACCACCCTACAATTTTATGAAATTGATGTTGAAATCTCTTCATTGCAAGTACTTCATTCCGAAATGAGCCCTCAATTCAACATCATCATTTCTCAATGCCATAATCCCACTTACCCGTCCCACACCGCCCCATCCTCCCTTACAAAAGTCAAAGTTCCATCGTTCGGAATATAAAAAAAATTAATTTATTAATTTATTGATTTATTTGAGTTATATATATATATATTTTAATCTTTTTATGCTTTTTAAAAAAAAATCAATAAACTAGTTTTGTTCTTACTTTTCAAAATAAGCCTTAAAATATTATATGCATTGTTATTTATCTAATGAACTCAATTAAAATCTAGCGAAAAAATTTATAAAATGTTAATTTTTTCTATTAAGTGATTGAAAGATCGGAAATAACCAACGTAATATGTTTGTTATTTTATATTTTCTTAATAATATCATGTAAATAATGAGATATAGTATTTCAAAATTAACAAATAATATTGTATTTTTTTTTTTAATTTTTAATGATAAAGTCAAGACCAAAATCTCTCAAACTTAGCGTGTGTGTCTTCCAATCTCCTCCCAAACTCAAAGTGGAAACACTAATCATCTTAGCACGCAGACACATCATCGATCACTCTTTTGAGTCCCCATGCTTTTCTTACCTCCTACGCCAATCATCACTCTTCACCATTAAAAAACCTCTTTCACTCCAATATATATATGTTTTTTTTTTTTATAATTTTTTATTTTTATAAATAAAACATTAAAATACATATTTATATCGATAGTAAAAATCTAAAATCTCCATATATTTGATATTTAAATGAAAAATGGCCGGTCTCTAAAATATTACAACCAAATTGACTTAAATGAGAACGATTGTATGGAGATGTTTGTTACAACTAAAATGACATGTTTATATAACTAATATTAGTTTAGAAATTTGTATCAGATTATTTGCTATAATTTTTATTTTTTTAACTTATTAGTCATAAATAGTTTAAATAAGTTTAAAAAAAAATGATTATCTAGATTCTAGAAGCTGGGAGAGAGGTGTTTTTAACATTTGTTTTCTAATTATCAACTTTTAATTTATAATATGCTTTTAACATTTTTTTTTGATTATCAACTTTTAATTTATAATAAACTGCACTAAACATGGCCTATATGCTAGTTATTGATTTATTTAAGAATCAATCAGCTACGACTCAATTTTTGACACATCAATAAATTTAAAAGTGATATTTTAAAAGTGTTTGATATTAATTTATTTAAATATATTTAAAACATATCTATGAAATTCCTATATATTTAACCAGATCCTCCTACCCCTCAACTTATTTTAACCCATGACAACACTATAACACTAAAGCAATCACACCAGTAGTGTGTGTGCCTTAAACCATGAATATAAACAAAACGCTTTTCATTTGGCTCTCTGCCATTGCCATTGCTATTCTTTCCATCATCTTACTCTTACCTTCTTCCCCAACCACCAGCACCACCAGCACCACCACCACCATTGCCAACTTTCCTCAAACCTACCTTGAACTTGATTTTCTGAGAATTGTTGTTGATCAAAGTGGCATAGACAACATTCTCTCCCTCATAGACAGGCTTGGCCGCCAAGCACATCGCCATCGGAGGAGGCGAAAGGTCACATGTGATGACTCAAAATGGAAGTCTAGTCTTGTTTCAAATTACAATGTGTGGCTTGTTTTGACTGTTGATTTGAAGGGTTGTGGGAATTTCAACAGTGTGCAGAAGGCAGTGGATGCTGCTCCTGATTTAAGCCCTTCTCGGACACTCATCTTGATCGATTCTGGCATATACAGGTCATTACTATGCCATAGCTAGAGACGTTTTTGACACACTCTCATTTCATTGTGAATCTTACAATGGTCTGTGTTTTGTTTATATATTTATTTTTGAAAAATTTCGTACTAATTGGATTGGAGGTCCACCTTCATGAGTTGTGGGCTCGTTTCTGATCTAGCTTGATCATTTAAATTGCTTATTTTTTAATAAAAAACCACTATATAGATTATTCGTATAAAAAATAGAATTGATTGGATATCAATAACCATTTAATTAGCTCACAGGTATTTAAAAATTATTTATTATCTCATATGCTGTATTGATTTAATGAATTCTACCTCTTAGTTATCAGTACTGTGATGACAAATAAGTTTTCATACATGGTCACTAAAGTCACTCGACGAAATTGACGTCACTTCTAGAAGTGTTAGACAATTACATGATCGATAAGCTCCTCTGAAGTGTACAAAATTTAATCACATAACTCTCTCGATCCTGTTCTAGTTCTATGATCGGATTCTATGCATTATCAGAGTTTGTCCGACATGATAAATGAGGTTACAATTCATGGCGAGTGCAGGGAGAAAGTAACAGTGCCAGCTAACAAGGCCAATTTGATATTTCAAGGACTGGGTTATCTCAACACTGCCATTTCCTGGAATGACACTGCAAATTCCACTGGAGGAACTGTATACAGTGCCACAGTTTCCATCTTTGCTCCCAACTTCATTGCTTACAACATCAGCTTTCAGGTAACACTTTCTTTCTCTTTTGTTTTTTTTGGGTAAATTACACTTCACTCTTTTACTAAAATTTTACTTGGTCATTTTACTTTCAATTGTAACAGTCACTTTAAATCAAATTTCAATCTCATACTTCCTTCTATCTACTGTTTATAAACCTAACGGAAATTGAAAATGGAGGGACTAAAGTAAGAGTTTTGTAAAAATGTGGGATTAAAGCGAGATTTTAAGTGTAACATTGTTAATGAGACAATAAAAATGTCACACATATTTTAAATGACAAGTGTCGTTAACCTGGTTAATGATTAGACGGATAAAAATGTGATATTATAACTTGACTTAAAGTGTATGAATTAAAACTGTTACAATTAAAAAAGAATGGATTAAACTGAGATTTGATAAGTACACAGGTACTTAAGTGTAATTAACTCTTGTTTTTGTAAATGTTTCATTTCAAATTGAAGTTCTGTGCTGATCAATACTTGTAAACTGATACATTAATAATGAGGATGTTTTTGTGAATTTTGTTTTGAAAAATAAAAGAATACAGCGCCGCCGCCATACCCAGGAGCGATAGGAGCTCAGGCAGTGGCACTGAGGATAGCAAGTGATGAAGCTGCTTTTTATGGGTGTGGGTTTTATGGAGCACAAGACACCCTCAATGATGATCGTGGAAGACATTATTTCAAGGAGTGTTTCATCCAAGGTTCTATTGATTTCATCTTTGGAAATGGTAGATCACTTTATGAGGTATTTACACAATCATCCCCATCAAATATGCTTTGTATTCTGTTTGTGATAAAATAAAAAATAAAAAAAAGAAGGGCACATTGATAAGAAAACAATGTTTCATAAGTTATTTCCAAAAATTATTTTTCAAAAGAAAGCACTTTTATATTGGTTTTTGGATTTTGGAAAGTTGGTTTTACATAAAAGGGAAAATGATGATTTATTTCAAATTTTACATTGTTTTTGTTTTAAAAAATATAAAAATAAACAAAAAAATAAATTTTGAAAACAATATCAAACATGATTACATGCATTCACGTTTTGTGATGACGAAGCATCATATTTGTTCAAATCATTACAATATATCTGAGAAATGACATTTCGGTACTATTGACATAAGATATTCAGTGCAATTTGTTAGGACCAGCTCCACGCATACAATAAATCATAGTTCACAAATGATACCGACCTCCTTCTTCTTCTTCTTCTTCCTTTTTTTTTTTTTTTTTTTTCTTTTTTTACTCTTACAATTTTATAAACACATGTCAATCAGAGATAAAAAGAAAAAAAAAATATAAAATAAAAAATTAATCAATAACAATATACTGGGGGTGATAGAAGTTCCCAAAAAGAGTTCCATCCTTTTTTTCCATCATAGTTAAAGCTTTCAAATTAATATGTCAGCATAGTAGGACTATCTCTGGTAAAAATAATGAAGATATTGACATATAACATCTCGGTTGGACTTGGTCATCACGATTTTTTTAAGAGCTTAGTTTTTAAGAAGTCATTGGTTGAATTCTCCTTATAGGTAAGGCTGTAAATTAACAGAGCAGTTCGTAAACAAACTCAAGTTTAACTCAGTAAAAGCTCGTTTGAATTTGATTCGTTAATTTTTATTTTTTTTTGCATTCGAGCTCAAGCTCCTTAAATTTTTAATAAACAAGTTTAAATTTTTTAAAGTTTGGTTCATTAGATATTTTGAAATGTTTTCAAAATAAAAAAGATTTTCATATAAAAATTAATCCAAATTTGATTCTCATTGTGTACTTTACCTTTGTAGCACAAAAGAAAAAAAAAAAAAAAGAACATAATAGAAATAAGGATATAACCGTAAATCTAATTTTTAAATAATATATTAAATCTTCCTTTTCAAAATCAATGGGACTAATTGGTCTATAAGAAAATCCTTAGGACCAAATAGATTACAATTCCTCAAGATGAGATTTTAGTCTCATGGAGTGAAGCACTAATAAATCTCAGAATATGATCTTGCGAACCATTTAGTCATTTTTTTTTTCTTCTTATGAACCCAAAGGTCCCATTAAAGTAAAAATTACATAAAAGGATAGTCATTTACATGTTTGAGTTTAATTTTTTAGGGATAAAAGTGGGTTTATCAAAATATAAAATTACACATTTAGGCAATTCGCACTATAGAAGTTTTGGATTTTTCCTCATTCTGGAACAAATCTCACATTATGAACAAAAACGTAACACTCTATAGTATACTTTTCCTAAATGTAATAATGTAATACTAAAAAAAAAATTCCTTAACGTATTTTTTCCAAACGTAACGCTTCAATGTAACATAAAAAAAAAACTCTTTAGTATATTTTTTTCAAATGTAACACTCCAATCCGTGTAATTCCAAATGTAACATTCCAATGTAACACACACAAAAATACAAAAACACTCATTACTATATATATTTTTTTTCAAACGTAACACTCACAGATTGAAATTATACATTTGCCCAAAAGTTATTGAGGAATATTTAAACTCCTTTTGGAATGGTTTGAAGAATCTTACATCTTTTTTTTTAGTGTTACATCAAAGTGTTACATTTAGGAAAAATACACTAAGAATTTTTGTGTGTTTTATTAAAGTGTTACACTAAGGAGTTTTATTATAGGGTTGCACTAAGGAGTTTTTTTGGAGTAATATATTAGATAGTGTAACGTTTGAAAAAAGTAACACTAATATTTTTTTTTTTTTTTTTTTTTTGGTGTTACATTAGAGTGTTGCACTATTTTATTTTATTTTATTTATTTTTTGTGTTACATTAGAATGTTGGAGTTTTTATGGAGTGTTACATTTGGAAAAAAAAATACATTAAAGAGTTTTTTTTTTTTTGGTTACATTAGGGTCTTACACTAATTTTTTTTTTTTTGAATGGTACATTTGAGTGTTACATTAGAGTATTACAGTTTAAAAGCATACATTTAGACAAAACTTACTAAATAGTTGGACGAATTACAGTAACAGTTCTTATAGTTTGGGGCTCGTATCATTTGGTTCCTGATTTTTCAATTGGACACATTTAACCCTGAATTTTGAATCTTATTTCAAATAAGGACAATTGAAGATATCATTACTTAATTTTAAGGGCAAAATCGTCAATTTGGTAAAATATAAACTAATTTGACAAAAATAAATTCAAAAAAATGTTTTAAAATTTTTAAAGAATTATTTCTACCCACCAAGAATAAAATTATGTAAAATTGATAAATATTTTAGACATTTATTTATTTATTTATTTTCACCAAATTAATTTTTATTATGTGTTTGGATGATAATCATGTAATGAGTGATTGTTAAGATTTTAATGTGTAATCGGTATATTTAATATATGAAATATTTTTATTTTGGAATTTTTTGATTTAATGAATTGGTTAAATGATATCAAAGTTGTCGTCATCTTTGACTTTTGAAAAAATAGAAACTAATTTAATGAAAATAAAAATAACCACCCATTACATGATCATCATCCAAATACAAAATAAAAATTAATTTGGTAAAAATAAATAAATAAATAAATGTCTAAAAGATTATCAATTTTACATAATTTTATCTTTAGTAGGTAGAAATAATTTTTAAAAATTCAAAAATATTTTTTTGACATTTAATTTTCAAATTAATTTATTTTATCAAATTGATGATTTTGCCTTTGAAATTAAGTAATGGTTTCTTCAATTGTCCTTATTTGGAACAAGATTCAAAATTCAGGATTAAATGTGTCACAATTAAAAAGTCAGAGACCAAAGTGACACAACTCTCAAACTATAGAGACCATTAGAGCAATTTGCTCTAAATAGTTTTTATACTGCTTTGAAAATGTTTGAAAAATCTCACATTCTTTGGAATGTTTGAAGACTCTCATATTTCAAGTCATTGTTGTGCTTATTTTGAAATGTTTTCAAAATAAAAAAGATTTTCATATAAAAATTAATCCAAATTTGATTCTCATTGTGTACTTTACCTTTGTAGCACAAAAGAAAAAAAAAAAAAAAGAACATAATAGAAATAAGGATATAACCGTAAATCTAATTTTTAAATAATATATTAAATCTTCCTTTTCAAAATCAATGGGACTAATTGGTCTATAAGAAAATCCTTAGGACCAAATAGATTACAATTCCTCAAGATGAGATTTATATGTAAATTTTTCTTATGTTTACGGAGTTTTTTTTATTTTTTTTGTGGTTAAAAAGAAATATGTGGTAATTTTACTCAACATCTTAAAAGGCTAAGTTGAAAATCAATGCTTATTTCCTTCAATTTTTTTAAAAAATTATTAAGACTTTTTGTCTACGTGATGCTAAGATTTCTTATTTTCAACTCCCTAATAAAGATAATTACTTATTCCATTCCAAAATATTAGTCTCTTATTTCATTTTTTATTATTTCAAAATATTAGTCTATTTTAAAAAATTAAGGACTAAAACAATATAAATTTCTTATTTTGTCATTCTTTTAAATTCATTAACAATACAAAAAGTACAATTATAACAATTGATATTCTCCAAAAATGTACTATCAAAGGGTAATTTTGAAAAATTAATTTTTTTAAAGTGTAATAATTATATTACCTAAAAAAATTAAATTCCCTAAAAGGAACTATTATTTTGAAACGAAGAGAGTATTATTGCCATACCCACGAATTTTTTTGCGACATTATTATTGATTAAAGCTATCATATGAATAATGTCACGTAATATTCCAAAATAACTGCATAATTACCTGACATTTCTTGTGATTTACGTCTCAAAACTTAATTGATGACCAACAAACTTTAACATCACTCATCGTCAAAACTTATAATTGACTATTGATTATTATATTAACAAGTTTAATGTTGTTGTGGGCAGGATTGCACAATAAGTTCCATAGCAATAGAAGTGTCAGTAGGGATAAGTGGAGCAATCACAGCACAAGGGAGGAACTCAATGAATGAGAACACGGGCTTCTCCTTTGTGAATTGTAGCATTGGTGGAAGTGGGAGGATTTGGCTTGGGAGAGCTTGGGGTGCATATGCCTCTGTAGTCTTCTCTAAAACCTACATGTCAGAGGTTGTTGCTTTGGATGGATGGAATGATTGGAGAGACCCCTCTAGAGACCAGTCTGTGGTTGATCCTAATTGCTATTTCTTCCTCTTCTCTGTTTCATGGATCTTTCTCAACATGCATCCAATAATAAATATTTGTGTATATAGAATTTATTTATATTTAAAAAAGAAAATGATTGTCATATCAAAACTTAAGATGAAGGGTCGGATATTAGAGTATTTTTTGATAAGACTTAACTAATAAAGAATTGTCCCATTAGTCGGTTTTGGACCTACTTTATGGCCCAAAACATTAGTGCTCATTTAGGGATGGGATCCTTCATGCCCAAAAAATATTAGTCCCTTGTTTCTTGTGTTTTGAGTCGCATGATATGATTTTATTTAAATTAAAATTACTTAAATGCAAGATTGTGTAGATGTAAGTGCATGAAATGGGGATAAGAACATTTCAGAGACAGAGGATCCCAATCCAAAAAATAACTGTAGGTACAAATACATGATAGATGTGGTGGACAATTACGAAGGAGCTAAAAAAATCAATAAGAGGGGAACAATAGGGGAAAAGAAAGCGTGATATACTCGATAGGAGGAGAATAATATGAAAAAAGAAAGTTGCATCATGTAATAGTGAGACTTGAATCTCGACATGACATCTAGTATCATCCACTAAACCAATGCTTAGTTTTAAATTAGTGAAATTTAATCAGTGATAAATATCATTTTTTTTTAATAATAAGAGATGCATGAAACTAATGAAATATCTCTGAGAGCCCAAGTGAGATTAGCTATTTTCCATTTCAAGGACACATTATATCTAGAAATGAATCAAATTATGAGATGGATGTGAAATATAGACCTTCATACATTTTCATCCCAACTTTATTACTAGTTTTATTTTGATTATTAAAGTTTTGTTTGTTAAAATGATTTTGTTTTGCAGGACTGTGTACTTTGGGGAGTATGGGTGTTTGGGACCTGGAGCAAACTACACAGGCAGAGTCTCATATGGAAGGCAACTGAATCAATCTGAAGCTGCACCTTTCATGGATGTTTCATACATTGATGGACAAGATTGGCTTCTTCCTCATTGAAGCTATATTCAAAACTGATATGTATAACCATTGACAGAGAGACTTCATTCAAACTTAATTAATTTTGCTAGCATATATGTAACAATATCTATAATAGTGTTGTGAGAAGTGGGAATGTCATTATTCTTACAATAAAAGCATTAATAAAGAACATACATTTTTTTATCAACTCGAAAGAAGAAAAAAAAAAAAAATTTTATTAACTTGCAAGAAGAGACTAGGAAAGATAAGTGTAAAGAAACTGGAGCCAGTTTATATGGATAGGACCCATCCATTCTAAATAAAAATTGGATTCAGTTCCAAAAAGAATGAAGATTCTCTCCATTCTTTTTCCAACCATCATCCAACACTTTACAGTAAAAAATCTTACCCATAATGCAAACATGTAGTTGAGATTACTGTTGTTTTCTGTTTGCTAAGTCCAAACCTTTTTCTTTATATCCTCAATTAAGAGTGATATGTTCACGTGCGCAGAACCTCCATTTTCCATGGCTCTCTTTGCTTTCTCTCCCAGCTCTATTGCCCTCTTTCTTCTCTCATCTCCTTCTTCACCCCCTTCCATTACTCTCTCTATAGCCTTCTCAACCTCTTCTCTCTTCACCACCACACCAACTCTCTCTTCATCTCCCCACCTCACTGGGACTTCGACGCCAACTCGAACCCCAATCCTCAAGATTTCCACAACCAACTTCTCATTCAAGAACTGCTCAGCAAACATCGGCCAAGTCACCATTGGCAAACCAAAGCAAACCCCTTCTATGGTTGAGTTCCAACCACAGTGAGTTAAGAACCCTTTGATTGAAGGGTGGGACAGGATAAGAAGCTGAGGTGCCCAACCCTTGATCACAAGTCCCCTCCCTTTAACTCTCTCCTCAAAATTCTCATCAATCAACCATTTTTCTAGCTCTTGGAATCTCTCTCCTCCTGTTTTGATCACCCAAATGAAGGGGTGTTTTGAGGATTCTAATCCGAGGCCGAGCTCGATTAACTGTGGTGGAACTAGGCGGCATTGGCTGCCGAGGCAGGCGTAGAGGACTGAGTTTGGTTTCATGGAGTTGAGCCATTGTATGCACTCTTTCTCATCAATGGAGGCTTTGTTGCCTCTCTCAAACTTGTCCAAAACCTCCTTGTTACAGAGCGAAACCGGTCCGATGGACCAAACCTGCCATAAATATTATTATCACAGAAAATCAATAAATATAATTCAAATAAGTAAATTAAAATGAAATAGTAAATTTGGCGAAAGGCATGTTGTGGCTTTGCTAAAGCTATTATGGCCTTCAAAAATGATTAAGAGTTATAAACTAAGAGCTCTAATGGATAGGGCTTACTTACTGATGTGATTTTTTAACAATTTTTTTTTTTTTGCCACGTAAGTAGAGCTCAATTTAGACCTCTACTTCTAGAGCTCTCTATCACTACTGGATTGCCTTATTACTTGCAAGTATTAGTAAACAATGAACAACTTCAAGATAGAGTTGAAGAGGAAATATCATTTTTGCTGAATTCATGTTCTTTTAATAATATTATTACTGAAAAATCAATTTAATTCATGTTATTTTAATAATATCAATTTTACACTTAAATTATTTGATTTTGAATCAATTTTACCCAATCAAACAGAAGTTCTTCATATGGCACAGAAATTTCGTTTAAAATTTTATTTTGCCACCCAAACTATCTCTAAAATATCAAATAGACCCCTAAATTTCATTTTGTTCAGGGGCTTAATTGATATTTTGGGGATAGTTTAGAGGGTAAAATGAAATTTCAAATGAAGGTTGGATGCCACATCAGCAATTTCTATTTGATTATAGAGGACAATTGACGGTGGGGGTAAAATTGATGCAAAATCGGATAATTTAGGTATAAAATTAATATTATTAAAAGAACATAGGTTAAATTGATTTTTGAGTGATAATTTGGAAGGCAAAATGATAATTTAGAGTAATGCTAGATTTCATAAAAGAAATATGAAAAATTTCATGAAACTTTTAGAAATAATCTAGCGTGATAGGTAAAAGAACATGTGTTAAATTGATTTTTGAGTGATAATTTGGAAGACAAAATGATAATTTGGAGTAATGATAGGTTTCATAAAAAAGTATGAAAAATTTAATGAAATTTTTAGAAATAATCTAGTGTGATAAAAATCAAAATAAGAAAATCGGCTTACCTTAGTGTAAATATGTTTTAATTTTAAAGTCTTAGGCCTCGTTTGGGAACATGTTTTTTTAGTAATTTGTTGGCTTTTTGGCTAAAATGTGATGTAAAAAAAACTAGTATGTTTGGAATGACTTTTTGACTTTTTACGAAAAGATGTGCAAGAAGTAGAGAGAAAAGGAAATATTTGACTTTTTAATATGGGTTGTTGACTTTTTGATTCTTTAGTAACTTTTTTACTTTTTGGCTAAAATAGACACTTGCCAAATGAGGTCTTAGTTTATAAATAGTATCAATTTAATTTTGTCTTATAGTGCTCTATGATTGATAAATTGTAACTTAATGTATATAATTGTGTAACATACAATAAAATACGAGTAATGTTACGTTTCATGAGAAAAATATTATTAAAAACCTTATAAAGATTCTCTACCCTTAGGTTAAATTATTTTTTGAGTGATAATTTGAATGGCAAAATGACAATTTGGAGTCATGTTATGTTTTATATAAGAAATATGAAAAATTTCACGAAACTTTTAGAAATAATCTAGTGTGATAGGTAACAAAATAAAAAAAACAGCTTACCTCAGTGTAAATATGTTTAAATTTTGAAGTCTTAATGTGTAAATCATATAAACTTGGTTTTGTCTTATAGGGTTCTATGATTGATAAATTGTAACTTTGTGAAAGAAATATTACGAAAAATTTTATGAAAATTCTCCACCTTTGGATTAGTTCGTGATATTTTATTATATATTATATAATTACATACACCAAGTTACAACCTATCAATCACAGAACATTATAAGACAAAATTAAGGCATTGTCTTATTTGGATCACAATCATTTTATTTTGGTCACATCACTTCTTATTTGGGTTATATCACCTCTCTATCACATCATTTCAACCCCCACCTATATTTTACATTTTTCGTAAAAAGTAAAAAAGTATGCTAATTTAACACTTCTCAAACAACCCCTAAGTTTATACTATTTGTAAACTAAAGATTTCAAAATTAAAATAGGGCGAATTACACTAACAGTCCCTATAGTTTGAGACTCGTGTTACTTTGGTCTCTGACTTTTTAATTGTGACACATTTGACCCTGAATTTTGAATCTTGTTCCAAATAAGAACAATTGAAGATACCATTGTTTAATTTCAAGGGCAAAATCGTTAATTTAATAAAATATAAATTAATTTGACAAAAATAAATTTCAACAAAATATTTTAAATTTTTTAAAAATTATTTTTATCCACCAATGATAAAATTATGTAAAATTGATAAAAATTAATAAAAATTACATGATTAATTTTTAAAAATTAATTTTACATGATCATCATCCAAATACATAATAAAAATTAATTTGGTAAAAAAATAAATAAATGTCTAAAAGATTTATCAGTTTTACATAATGTTATTTTTAGTGGGTAGAAATAATTTTTAAAAATTCAAAAATATTTGTTTGACATTTATTTTAATCAAATTAGTTTATATTTTATCAAATTGATGATTTTACTCTTGAAAAATCTAAAGATATATTCAATTGTCCTTATTTGGAACAAGATTTAAAATTCAGAATCAAATGTGTCACAATTGAAAAGTCAGTGACCAAAGTGACACAAACCCCAAACTATAGGGACTATTATTGTAATTCAACCATTAAAATATACTTACATTAAGGGTTCGTTTCGGATGTGGGTTAACTTTTTTTGGCTTTTGACTTTTTTAGCGTAGGGTTAAAAAATCTCATTTGGGATGAGTTTTTTGGCTTTTTTTTTTTACTTTTGTAAAAGAAAAAATGAAATGATTATGATTTGGATGTGACATTTTGTCTTACTGACTTTTTAGCTTATTTTATCTTTTTGTGGCTATTTTAATCTCAAACCACCCCAAACCATTATGCCAAACGAGTGCTAAGATAAGTCACTTTTTTTTTTAAACAATTACCACACTAGATTATTTCTTAAAACTTCATGTAATTTTTTATAACATTTCTTTCATAAAATCTAACATTACTCATAAAATACCACAAACTAATTAAAAAGGGAGCTTTTTTGATAAATCCATTTTCTAAGAGCTTTATTTCATCCAACCCATATTCTTTTTTACTATTCCATTAGGTCCAATTTGAGATAAGAAGACTAAAATACCCTTTTCATCTACTTATGTTCCATTTAGTTCACATTATTTTCTTATATTTCAATAAGTCCTATGGGTGACATAATTACCAAAATACCCTTCATGTGAATGTTCATACCGTCAATATAAATGTTTATATCGTCAATGTGTAGGCGCCTGGCTCATGTCGATCCTCGTGGATGCCGGGAAAAATTCGAGTCGGGCCGGGTCGGCCCACAAGCCAAAAAAATAGGTCCGACCCGGCCCGTTGATAATATGAATATTCACATTGACAAGTTAACATTCACATTGATAGGAGTGTAAAATTGGACTGCGGCCCGTGGGCGGCCCGAAACCAGCTCGTCGCCCGAGGCGGGCTCGGGCCGGCCCGTTCACAATATGAATATTCACATTGACATATTAACATTAACATTAACATTGACAAGAGTGTAAAATTGGCCCATGACCCGTGGACAGCCCGAAGCCCGGGCCCGGGTCGAGACGGGCCCGGTCCAGCCCGTTGACAATGTGAATATTCACATTGACATGTTAACATTCACATTGATAGGAGTGTAAAATTAGCCCGCGGCCTGTGGCCGCCCAGAAACCCGCTTGCGGCTCGTGGACTGCCCTGGGCCGGCCCGGCCCAACCCGTTGATAATGCAAATATTCACATTGACATGTTAACATTCACATTGATAAGAGCATAAAATTGGCCCGCGTCCCGTGGCGGCGCGAAACCCATAAAGAAACTGGAGCCAGTTTATATAGATAGGACCCGTCCATTCTAAATAAAAATTGGATTCAGTTCCAAAAAGAATGAAGATTCTCTCCATTCTTTTTCCAACCATCATCCAACACTTTACAGTAAAAAATCTTACCCATAATGCAAACATGTAGTTGAGATTACTGTTGTTTTCTGTTTGCTAAGTCCAAACCTTTTTCTTTATATCCTCAATTAAGAGTGATATGTTCAAGTGAGCAGAACCTCCATTTTCCATGGCACTCTTTGCTTTCTCTCCCAGCTCTATTGCCCTCTTTCTTCTCTCATCTCCTTCTTCACCCCCTTCCATTACTCTCTCTATAGCCTTCTCAACCTCTTCTCTCTTCACCACCACACCAACTCTCTCTTCATCTCCCCACCTCACTGGGACTTCGACGCCAACTCGAACCCCAATCCTCAAGATTTCCACAACCAACTTCTCATTCAAGAACTGCTCAGCAAACATAGGCCAAGTCGCCATTGGCAAACCAAAGCAAACCGCTTCTATGGTTGAGTTCCAACCACAGTGAGTTAAGAACCCTTTGATTGAAGGGTGGGACAGGATAAGAAGCTGAGGTGCCCAACCCTTGATCACAAGTCCCCTCCCTTTAACTCTCTCCTCAAAATTCTCATCAATCAACCATTTTTCTAGCTCTTGGAATCTCTCTCCTCCTGTTTTGATCACCCAAATGAAGGGGTGTTTTGAGGATTCTAATCCGAGGCCGAGCTCGATTAACTGTGGTGGAACTAGGCGGCATTGGCTGCCGAGGCAGGCGTAGAGGACTGAGTTTGGTTTCATGGAGTTGAGCCATTGTATGCACTCTTTCTCATCAATGGAGGCTTTGTTGCCTCTCTCAAACTTGTCCAAAACCTCCTTGTTACAGAGCGAAACCGGTCCGATGGACCAAACCTGCCATAAACATTATTATCACAGAAAATCAATAAACATAATTCAAATAAGTAAATTAAAATGAAATAGTAAATATGGCGAAAGGCATGTTGTCGCTTTGCTAAAAATGTTTGGAAATTTTAAATTAAGAGCTTTAATAGATGGGGTTTACCTATTGATGTTATGCTTTGACAATTTTTTTTTTTTTACCTATCACCACTGTATTGCCTTATTACTTGCAGGTAGTAGACAATGAACATCTTCAAGATAGAGTTGAAGAGGAAATATCATTTTTGCTGAATTCATGTTCTTTTAATAATATTATTACTGAAAAATCAATTTAATTCATGTTATTTTAATAATATCAATTTTACATTTAAATTATTTGATTTTAAATCAATTTTACTCAATCAAACAGAAGTTCTTGACATGGCACCGAAATTTCGTTTAAAATTTTATTTTGCCACCCGAACTATCTCTAAAATATCAAATAGAACCCTAAACTTCATTTTGTTTAGGGGTCTAATTGATATTTTGGGGATAGTTTGGAGCGTAAAATGAAATTTCAAATGAAGGTTGGATGCCAATTTCTATTTGATTATAGAGGACAATTGACGGTGGGGGTAAATTGATGCAAAATCGGACAATTTAGGTATAAAATTAATATTATTAAAAGAACATGGGTTAAATTGATTTTTGAGTGATAATTTGGAGGGCAAAATGATAATTTAGAGTAATGCTAGATTTCATAAAAGAAATATAAAAAATTTCATGAAACTTTTAGAAATAATCTAGTGTGATAGGTAAAAGAACATGTGTTAAATTGATTTTTGAGTGATAACTTGGAGGACAAAATGATAATTCGAGTAATTATAGGTTTCATAAAAAAGTATGAAAAATTTAATGAAATTTTTAGAAATAATCTAGTGTGATAAAAATCAAAATAAGATAATCGGCTTACTTTAGTGTAAATATGTTTTAATTTTAAAGTCTTAGTTTACAAATAGTATAAATTTAGTTTTGTTTTATAATGCTCTATGATTGATAAATTGTAACTTAATAAATATAATTGTATAACATACAAAAAATACGAGTAATGCTACGTTTTATGAAAAAAATATTATTAAAAAACTATATGAAGATTCTCTACCCTTAGGTTAAATTATTTTTTGAGTGATAATTTGAAGGGCAAACTGATAATTTGGAGTCATGTTAGGTTTCATATAAGAAATATGAAAATTTTCATGAAACTTTTAGAAATAATCTAGTGTGATAGGTAACAAAATAAGAAAATTGGCTGACCTTAGTGTAAATATGTTTAAATTTTGAAGTCTTGATTTGTAAATAGTATAAACTTGGTTTTGTCTTGTAGCGTTCTATGATTGATAAATTGTAACTTATAGTATATGTGACTGAATAACATACAATAAAATACGAGTAATGCTACGGTTTATGAAAGAAATATTATGAAAATTTTTTATGAAGATTCTCCACTTTTGGATTAGTTTGTGGTATTTTATTATATATTATGTAATTACATACACCAAGTTATAACCTATCAATCACAGAGCATTATAAGACAAAATTAAGGCATTGTCTTATTTGGGTCACAATCATTTTATTTTGGTCACATAACTTCTTATTTGGGTTACATCACCTCTGTATCACACCACTTCAACCCCAACATATATTTTACATTTTTCGTAAAAAATCAAAAAGTATGCTAATCTAACACTTCCCAAACAACCCCTAAGTTTGTACTATTTGTAACCTAAGATTTCAAAATTAAAATATACTTACATTAAGGGTTCGTTTGGGATGTCGATTAATTTTTTGGCTTTTGACCTTTTTAGCTTAGGCTAAAAAATCTCATTTGGGATGAGTTTTTTGGCTTTCTTTGACTTTTGTGAGAGAAAAAAATGAAATGATTATGATTTGGATGTGACATTTTGTCTTACTGACTTTTTAACTTATTTTTTCTTTTGTGACTATTTTAACCTCAACCCACCCCAAACCATTATTGCAAACGAGTGCTAAGATAAGTCACTTTTATTTTTATTTTTAAACACCTACCACACTTGATTATTTCTTAAAACTTCATGTAATTTTTTATAACATTTATTTCATAAAATCGAACATTACTCAAAAAATAGCACAAACTAATTAAAAAATTAAAAATCTTCATATTTTTTTTTATAAGTATTTCTTTCATCAACCATAGCATTACTCAAATTACTAACCGTCCACAAACTTTTGATGTTTTTAATATGTTCTAAAATGAAAATGGTCTAAGTACCCATTCACTAAAGACATGTCTCGTGATCGAAACGGAATTAGAAGAAGATTATGAGGTCATGGACTCTTATTTTTGTGAAAAATATTGTTTATGATAGTATTTTAAAAATATATATAGCTTTTTATATATAAAATGGCCCCCAAAATAAATAAAAAAATACATATCTTATTTTTCTCCTATCATACATTCTCTTTGTATTTTGCACTGAAAAAACTTCTTCATCCTATTAGAGATTGCTTCTATCATTTTTAAATTTTTTCTATGTATATATATAATTTATATATATCATATTAGAGATTGCTTCATTCTACCAGCTTGTTTGGTTTCATAACTTAGTAATAACTTTTTTAAAAATTAAAATTTTTTGTTTTCCGTTTTTTTTTACTGAATTTTTTTTAATATTTTAAGTATTTTTTTAAAAAAAATTTAGATACTCCTAACATAAATATATTTAAAAAGTATAATATTTGTGAATTTTGTTTAAAAAAAATTCACTAAATATCAAAAATTCAAAATAAATAAAAATAAAAATTCAGTACATTTTTGTATTTTTATGTATTTATTGGTTTTTTAAAATATTATTTTACAAATATTTGTTTTTTAGATACATCTAAGTAAGATTCATCTAAAAAAGTAAAAAAATTACTTAAAATTTTAAAAATGTTCACTAAAAACAAAAAAAAAAAAGAAAAAAAAAACTCAATTTTCAGAAAATTGAGTTTTTTTTTTTATTTTTTGTGTTTTTTTATTTTTATTTTTAAGGAATATTTTTAAAATTTTAAGCAATGTTTTTACGTTATACTTACCTTACTTAGATGAATCTAGAAAGTAAACAAATATTTTAAAAAATCAATAAATACACAATAATACAAAAAAATACTAAAATTTGGTATTTTTTTATATTTGTTATATTTTTGGTATTTAGTGATTTTTTTAAAGACTTTTTTTTACAAATAAATGTATTTATGTTAGGTAAATCTAAAAATTTTAAAAATTGTTTAAAATATTAAAACAAAATCAGTGAAAACAAAAAAAAAAAAATAAAAAGTTTGAATTTTTTAAAAAGTGAATTCAAAAACTTAAATCAAACAAATATGTGATTTTTTTTTTTTGACCCCCTCCTGATAATGAAATTCTGATTCTGTCTTTTTTCATGACAAGTGTCTTTTAATTTATGTCTTTACGTTAAAAGACATGGTAATTATTAATTTAAAATGTTACAAGTGTTAAAAAAATGTTTCAGCAATACAATACCTTCTTGTCTAAGGCCTTTCCGTACTCTTCAACACAACCATGTTCTAATTCCGTGAAAGAATTCACCACAACCCCATAAGCAGTTGATTCAGCTTCTCTCATCTGGTCCCGGATATCGTTCAAGTCCGGTAGCGCAACAAACGATCCCGGAAGCTGGGTTCTGGTTATTTCAACTCTTTTCGGCATTCAGACAGCTGGTGTTGGAAACGAGGGGTTAAAAATAGTCACTCTGTTTGATTTGGAGTTTTAAAAAATAATTTTTTTGAGTTTTTAATTCGTATTATTTTTTAAAAAGAAAAATTATTTGCAGAAAAGTGTAAATCACTCTCCTTAAAGTGCCTTGGTTTGATTAACTTAATTTTATAATAATTGAGAATTTCTTTTATTTTGAAATATGATAAAAGTATAGAAACACGTAAATTAATTACAAAATCAGGCACAACCCTTTCTTCCGAAGTAGTTAGTCTCACCTTTTTATGAGTGTACATCATATAAGAGGGTTGTGTCCAATTTTATTAAAATATTCACATTGTAACAGCACCTGGCACAACGAAAGGTTCCGAGTCGGAAGCCACAGAACGGTGAGCATTGTGTAGCATTATATTGTGAGAGCTCAGGAGGGAGAAGCAGCACATCCCATGGAAGACAATCCTCGGAACCTGGAACTTTTTTGCCGTCTTAGATGTCCAGAAGAGGCACTTGTCTGAAATTATGCAGCTGGGAGGAGTGTCCTGTTCTTGCAATTTCTGTTCCAATTGCAGTTGAAGACTGTCGAGGGCGGTGTAAAATTTTCTGATCAGGTCCGGTGAGGGAACACTGTCAAGGTTTTCGCAGTCCAGTGGGAGACCCACCTCTTGACATGGGAATGGGATTTCTAGGAGATGAATTGGAAGGTTTTGTGAGGCTTTGGCTCTGTCAATTGTTGATGAAAATCTTGAAGCATTGTGAGGGGTGGTGACAAGGGTGATCATTACATTTTGCTCTCCAAATAGCTTGGCCATGTCTATCATGGGGATCATGTGACCTTGAGCTAGTAATGGAATTAACACAAAGTGCAGCCGGTTTGATGATGCCATTGATGGAGAGGACTTGTTTGGGAAGATGGTGTGAAAATAATGGGTGGTTGATGGGTATGAGAGATTTAAGGTGCCATGGTGTGTTGATTGTTGGATGCACTAATCGGTCTTATAACGAGCACTGGTACGTGCACAAAACAATAACATTTGAGAGTTCTAATTTTAGAACTTTCATGGTGGTTTCACATTATGATGTGATATTTTAGATTTTTTTTTTTTTGACACTTTCACTAGAGCTTATGGTAGACAGTAATGGTTGAGGGCCACAATTTTTATAGCTCAAATGGTTCGAAATTGTACAAAACGACGTCGTTTTGAGTCTAAAACAACTTCGAAATTGCCAAAATGACATCGTTTTGACAATTTCGAGCCATTTGAGCAACAAAAATTGTAACTCTCAAATATTTTTCTATGTTAGAGCTCTCTATTACTATCCGTACACAAAATTAGAATACTAAATGTATACATAAAATAGAATTTATTTTAAATAGGTTAAATTATACTTTGCCCTTTTATATTTGATCATATCCTACTTTGTACCTTATATGTATGTATATTATTTTTTTCACTTTGAGTTTTCATGGTTCAAGTTTTTTCTAATGTACTTCAAAAGTTGACTTATATCTAAAATTAAATAGAAAATGATACATTGATAGTTACGTAATATAAAAATATTTTATTATATATAATTTATATTTCTAATACAAGATTAAATCTCATCCAGTATAATATATTTTTATGTGATGTGACAATTAACGTCATATTTTTTATTTAATTTGAAAAAAAGTTAATTTTAAAAGTAAATTAAAAAAACTTAAAATATAAATGGTCAAATTAAAATTAAAAAAAGAAAGAAAAGAAGCTAACTTCAATAATCAAAGTATAAATGTAAAATGGATAAGGCATAATTACACTTCTAAATATTGTCCACATCACTCTCAAGATGAAGTTCAACTGACAATACAATTTTTTGTGTACAAGAAAATGTATGTCTAGAAAAATACAAATTGTTAACAAATAAGAACAGAATTTACATATCATCTAGTTTCGTGAAAGAATTGTATTTAATTTTATAATCGGATCTTGATTCAAAATCAACAGCTCAACCGAAATAAGTTGAGGGAAAATGATATATAAATATATTTTTTAGACTTATTTTTTAATTTAATAATGTATAAATAATATGATTAATTAATAATTAAAAAAATGAAAAAAGTTAATTAATTATTATATTATTGAATTTAAAAAATAAATCTAATTTTTAAAGTTGAATAATAATCGATAGTTGGGTGAGAGAGGAGGTAGAAAAGAAAAATACAAACTTTTCGACCCAAATGACGCGGTGCGTTGACTTCTAAGTCCATAGTCAAGTTCATAGTTTAAGTCATACACGATCTTCAAGTGAAATCAAAAAGAGAAAAACTAAGGATCATGAAAAAATTTTCATGAAAATAATCATGAAAGATTTATGACTCTTGGATTATCCTGATTAGTGTGTAGTGCTTTATTTTAAGTGTAATCTAAATGTCATAAATCTTTCATGATCATTTTCATGAAATTTTTTTCATGATACCTAGCATTGCTCAATCAAAAAGGTTTTACGGCAGACAAACACGGTGCTGCCACATCACTAAACGTTCAAAGTGGGACACCCAATTTAGACGAGGGAAAAATTAGCTATTAGTGGAATATATTAGAAAATTATTTTTTTAAAAAAATTGTGTTTAATTATTAATGTATATAAAATTTATTATTTATTTTTAATTTTTTTTTCAAGACACTGAATTAAAATTTATCCTTTCGATAAATTTTAAGAGGTCGAATTTTTAGTACTACAGAATGGTGTGGTTTTATTTATTTATTTAAATGTTTGAAACCAACAGCCTCTACATTCGGGGCCTCTTCCTCCTCCATTTGCAGCACGACCACTACCCGCTAACTCACCTGCAACAAAATTGTAGGTTGCAGCGGCAATAGAGGTTGTAGGTTGCTGAAATTCACTCAGACAAGCCTGGGTCGTTGAACATAATCTGGCTTGTGGGTTTGCACTGTTTTGCCATGGGTGTCGCAATTCGGTGAGTCTTGCGACATTCAATCGTGGGTCTCGTTTCTAAGTAAGTCTGTTCTACCACGTGATTATGCGCCTACTTTATAATAAGAGAACACTTTTATCTAAAAAAAAAGAAGAAGAGAAAGTACAAAACACTACTTACATGATCCTATACAATTGTAAAGGCCCATCACGTAAGATATAAAGCAGACCTATTAAATAATTTATCATAAATTGCACCATTGGTTTTTTTAGTTTGAATGAAATTTGACTTTAATCTTTATAGTTTCAATTTTCTCAATTCAAATTCTTTATTGTCAATTATGTTTCAATATGGTCCCTTTATCATTTGTCATTAGCACTTTGGATCGACAAAGTCATGTGCATGTCACATTTGAGTTTTAGAAATTCTTGCACAAGAAAAAAATAAATAAGTTATGTACCGGTAGTCCCTATAACTTCATCAAAATTTCACTTTTGTTATTCTGATTTTGCATGTGTTATTTTTTCGTCTAAAATATTAACGGCACAAGAAGAAATGACAATATTGCAACAAAATTGAAAACATAAAACTCAAATAGTATAAAGTAATAATACAATTTGTTGAATTGATTTGCTTTTAATTTGCAGTGGGGAAGGTTATTCGAAGTTTTTTCTCAAAAATGTATCAGAGTAATTTGGTTGTATTTATGACTATATTTTACGAAGAAAGTTTTTTTGGTATTTTTTGAAATATTTTTCGACTAGAGGTGGCAAACAGTAATTTTGAATGTGTTAAAAAAAAAAATTAGTACAAAAAATAAAATAACGGATTAAAATTGATTTTGCATCAAATAACCAAATCCAAATTCCAATTGGTCTATTTAATAAATAAGTTTAAGCGAATTAAATTGTAAACGTGTTGAACAGATCAATCCAATTTATACGTAGGTGTAGGCAATTATTATTATTGTTTGGATAAATTACACTTTATCCCTTTTAATTATCACCGTTTTTTACGTTATCTCTTCAAACTAAAAATTGATACAATGTATTCCTTTCATCTTCTGAAAGTTTTTAATCTAACTCATATATTTGTCATAAATATGACATTTGTACATTTTTCATCTGTCTTGTTAACAGAATGAATATATAAAAGTTAAATTAAAAACTTTCAGAAGATAAAAAGATATAGTATATTAATTTTTAATTTAAGAGAAAAAAAAAATAGTGATGGTTAAAGGGAATAAAGTGTAATTTGCGTTTATTATTCTCAAGATTATCATTTACGTTATCTTGCTGTCTAGGAAGAATTTTGTAGTCAAGGTTAAGCGTGTTATTTTTTAAAAAAATTGGATGCATTCCGTCGGAGTTTTTAACCCCTGATTCACGATCAACTAGTCAATTGAGTTTGGTTACTTTTCTTATAATAATTTTCTTATATTTTTTATCATAGTAAAATACATTAACAAAATATAAAATTTAATTAATCCGGTTAAAATTGAAATAAAATAAGATTAAAACTACACACACTAAAATGATGTAGTTTTGTTTTAACTTTTAGTGGAAATTTAATTTTATCCTTAATCTATTACTCAAAAGTCAATTATATCTCGTTTTTTTAATAATATAAATTTTGCACTTAAACTATTTAATTTTGAATTAATTTTGCCAGTTGTCGTCTCTAATCAAATGGAAATCGTTAACGTGACATTGGAAATTTATTTGAAACTTCATTTTACGCTCAAAACTATTCTTAAAAAATTAATCAGACCCCTGAATATATGAAAAAATTAAATTTAATTATTTGATAATAATTTTTATACTTCAATATCCTTTCTGAAATCTCACAAAAAAAAATAAAAAATCCCGACCCCCACCACTCTCACTGTTTTTTGATTGGCTCAAAAAATTATTATTATTATTATTTTTTTTGCTCTTGGTCTCACAACCCCCACGTGGAGGTGGGGTACTGGGGGTCACCCCCCACTAGTGTCCCCAGCATGATTGTTTAATTCTTTAATATTAGCCAGCTACAAATGTTAAGAGAGAGACAGAGAGATTAAACTCAGAATTTTGTGTTCAATAGTTTCTCTACCGATGAGTCGAGATAATTTACAATTTTAAATAAAGTTTATATTTAAAATATTTTTTTGTAAAATTTATTATATAAAAACTATTTTTTTCATTTTTTTGATGAAAATTATTATTAGATATTTAATTTAATTTATTCAGGAGTTTAATTGATGGAGATAAAATTGATTCAAAATTAACTAATTTAAATATAAAATTAAAATTATTAAAAAATAAATAAAAGATTTAATTAAATTTTAAATAATAATTTGAGTGATAAAATGAAGGGTAGGCTAGTGGATTGGACGGTTCCGTAGAGACCATTAGGAGTCTTGTTTCGATAATTTGAACCGTTTAATGTGTAGAGCTCATTAAGTACTTTATCTTTGTAAAAAACTCACGTTAATCGGATAGCGATAGCTACTACATCAGATCAGATTTTTGTCAACAATTTATTTTGAAAACTATATTTACCATTGATAAAAATCTAATCTGATCAAGTAGCTATGGATATCCGATCAACGTGATTTTTTACAAAAATATAATATTAGACGAGTTTTACACATTAAATGATTCGAATAATTGAAATAAAAACTATGATGGACCCTCACAAATCCAATAATACACTCCAATTTAATCTCAGACGGGAGGAAAATCCGACCACTTCTTCTCATTATATATTGCAAGAAAACGCGTAAAATTGTTTGGCTGTTTCATGCGAGGTTCAAGCCCTTAATGGCTCTCTGCTGGGGCAAACCAACAAATGATTGGACCATGCCATTGGACTTCTAAAACATTTTAGTTGCGCACCACATTATTATACACGACATTTTAAATTGTCGTACAAAACACTTCAATCATTAATTGTTATGAGTCACATTAATATTGATATCTTGTTGAGTAATGTGACTCATTCTAATCAACGATTAAAATATTACGAGTGATAATATTCTTCATTGGTGTAATAACATTATGTTGAATTTTGAATGCCTCAATTTTTCAA